GAGGGGAGCAGCGGGGCAGCAGATCCTGGCTGCTTAGCTGTGGGTAACCCTGCCCTTCCCGGTGTGCCTGCCGCCGCTCCCACCCTCACCTGTGGGAACGGATGTCTCCGGGACCCTGGTGCCGTTTGAATCTGCCGGCTGCTTTTCAGTGGCGTGGCGGAGCCGCCTGCCCTTGTCCGTCACGACCCTTCTGCTTTCCCTTTTAACTTAAATATCGATGCTTGAATTCTCATGATGTCATTAAGTAACAATACTGTGTTTGCTTTTTTCCTGCAGTGGACCGCAGTTCGAAGAGGAGACAAGTGAAGCCTTTGGCAGCTTCGCTGCTGGAAGCTTTAGATTATGATAGCTCTGATGACAGTGATTTTAAAGTTGGAGATGCTTCAGGTAAATATGCTTCCTCATCTCCTCGGTTCAGGATGATCTCATTTCTGTTCTATGGTTGCTCATTTAAGATCATATGCAAGACAGAATGGTGTTAGTGGACTGTTGGGACTTGGAGACACTTGGAAGTTCAGTGACTCGATTGGATAACTGGAAATCCTTACACTGTCGATAAGAAGCAGTTGATCCATACAATACTTAGGTTGTAATTAAATTTTTCTCAACAGAAAACTCGTGGTTATCAAGCAGTTTTTGGCAGAAGCAGGAGAGTGGCTTCTGTGTTGATTGCTTTAGTTATATCTATTCCTTTTTATTTCTTCAATGTAGAGATAATTTCTTAAATATTCACTGCATTTAGTATTGAAATAAGAATGTTCTAAAGCTATTTGGTTTTGAATCAGTGTGGATAATGGTTTGTTCAGAAGTTAAGAACTTGCTTATTTCTCAAGGTCATTTCTACTTTGTGAGTAAAAACTTTGAGCAGCAAGATAATCTGTTTAGGTTTATGTTGTGTTTTACAATAGACAGCTTTAGCGTGCACTTTCAGATAGCTGTGCAGAAAGGTGTATGCATTTCATACTAGAAAGAAGTCTTTTCCTCAGAGTGTTTTGATTCTACTGTCTTTTCTATGTGTGCAGATTCCTGTATCTGCAGTGAACATCCATAGAAACTGAAAGTGAATAATGTACCAAAATAAAATTAATAAATTCAAGTAGGTTGGAGGGAAGGGAAAGAAGGGGCAGGATGCTGTTTCTGAGTGAAATGCACATTGAGTGTTTTGTGGCATATGCTCAGGTAAATAAGCAAAAAGATGCATAAGATGTAAGGGAAGCACTATGACATCTTGTCAAATAACTTCACTTGGTTATTTCTGCACTGGGGATGCTGATCTTTGTTTTCATGTGAATGTAACTAGCAGAAATACGCCCCATTTAAAGTCTTATTTATTAACATCTGGCAAGCGCCTCTTTATTAATGAACTTAACTCTTAATAATAATTTCGCCAGTGTTAAGATATGCCCTAATGCTCCTTGGTTTTTTTCCCTTACTTAGACATATTTCCCTAGGTTGATCTGGTAGAAGCAGGCTGCAGTGACTTAAGAGAGTAAAACTGAAGTAATCTTACCAATTTCATTCCTGACTTGAGTATATCTAAATGTAGAGGATTAGTTTGTATTTTATACCCTCTTCGACTTTTAGGATATTGTATGTACACATGGGGGGTGTCAGTGTCTTGCCTTGAGAGTATTTCAATCTCAGTTTTATTTTGAAGAAATTGGATTATTTTTCCCTTAAAAAAGCAACTCTGAATTGAAACAAGCATATAAGAAAACAACAACTTCTATTTATGAAGTATTTTTCTAATTAATGTTCATACATTTCATATAGTTTTGATTTAACATTTCAGAACCTATGTCTAGCAGTTATAGGATAAATTAATGTTCTGTTTAATTAAATCTAAAATTTACTGAAAACACTTAAACAGCAGCAGAGTTTGGCATTGTACCCTTTCTGCTGTCACACTGAAAGTCTCTGAACAAAGTTGTGAGGGCTTGGAGAAGTTGAGGAATAGAAAGTTATTAAATATATAACCTCTTAGGTTGAAAGAAAAAAGGAACATTTCTTATGTGTAATACAATTTAAATGAATAGTGGCAGGATATTTGAAATGGAACATCTGTGCTGATTTAACATAAAGCTGGTATAACACAGTCTTAAATCTAGCTATACCTAGTGCATTTGGAATCAGACGGAAGAAGTGCTGAAATAAGGGGACTTTTTTACACACCCACACCCCATTAAATATAAATAAAATCAGTAATTTCAAATTTATATATACATAAAGAATATTTGTGTATGCATGTAGGCAGCCCTGCTACACAAATTCCGGATTGCTGCTAACAGAAAACAGGTTTTTATTTTTTTCACTGTGGATTCAGCCTTCAAAACATATTGTGTATTTCTTCATTGCAGTCAGGGCTGATGCTCTTTTTCTTCTTTCAATGACTGTAGAAATGTCTTCATGTGCAGCCTATTGCGAATCAGTAGTATTTGTTTGAATTGAGAATATCATTGCATAGCTTACTTAGAAAGGGAAATAAATGTGCCGGAAGGAAGAAACAATCTACATTGAAAATGACCACAGATGCACTCATACACCCATAAAAATCCTCTAAGTATGATAATTCCACAGCTCTACGATGTATGTTCATTTGATTCACAAGTGTACATATAGGTGTTAAAAAAACCTGAAAAAAATTTGTAAGTTAAAGGACTAATTAAATACTGAATCAAATTAACTCTAAAGTTGTTTACTCCCTGTTGACTATGTCGCACCCATATATATGAAGTTTAGGATGTGAAGTGATATGTGCTAGTAGTCAACACTGTGCCAGTCTAGGAGGAGTGAGCCCTGAGCATCTCAGCTTTTACACATGTTCATTGTTCTGTCAGATTTCTGGGAGTAGGAGATGCAGAAAGGAATTGAGAACTTGGTATTAAGTACTTTTAGGAAAGAGCTGTAAATTCTGAATTTTTGTGTTCAGAATCCTCATGCCTTGGTAAATTTTTTTCATGACAGAAAATTATTTCTAATCACGTAACTTCCATATCGACACAAAAAAATAAAATCCATAGGAGTAATGGCCTTTGCTTACAGTGTAGTTTATTTTCTTTTGGATTTAGGTCAAACCAACAGGCACTTACTGGCTTTTCCACTTTAAAGGTCTCATCATTCTGGCACTTCTTTAGAGAAACTGATTTTAGAACTGTTATATTCTTGTCAATTTACTTAATGTAAATAGTTCTCAGGCCTGTCAGCTTTTCGTTGTGTCAATATTTAATTAAGTAGTTTTTAATGGCTTCTCTGTTTCTATGTAGTAGAAAGCGGTAATGCCATATTTTAAAGCACTGTATTTTTCTGGGTTTTTTTATAGGCATCTTGAAAAATTTGTTCCTCGAGTAGAAATGTCATATGTAATCTTAATGTGGGATTAATAAAAAATACTGCCCTTTTGGGCTCAGAGCATGCAAATGTGTGACTTGAAATGATGGTACTCTACTTAACTGAAGTTTTTTAGTAATGTTTCACAATACAGATGAGTTATTTAAAGTTTTGCATTTGAGTTAGACCATACTTTGGTTTTTTGGTTGGTGAATTTTTTTTCTTTTTTTTTTTTTTAATTTCATGAGAGGAGCCCAAGATAAAACCAATGTTAGAAATCAGTGGATATAGTTGTAATTCCCAGCAGGATTCCAAAGAAAGGATTTACCACTTTTTTTCTGTCTCATTGTTGAAGTTGGTCAGTTTTGGCAGCTGAAATTGAAATAATGCAGACAGAGGTAGTGTGGTCCCTGAACAAGTCTCATGTGAATTTAAGGAGTGTCTCTCTTATTTCAGTGTAGCTAAGAAGTGTGTAGCTAAATGTTACCTTGAAGAACTGGATTCTATCACTACTTCTGCTACACATCTCCTGGACTGAAATTTTTAGAGACATTTGCTGGTTTTTATTCTTCTGCTGTTGAACGTGGAGCCTGACTTGACTAAATATTAGGTACTATTGCTGCACTTGAGGTCAGTAGGACCTCTGTTTAAAGCATGTAATGATTTATATGAATGTATATATTAGGTATTCTGAAAAACTCGTGACATGATGTAGAAATAAGGAGTGCAAATATCTTTATCTTTCCGTAATACGTTTTGTCTTAGCACAATGGAGATTCCGCTTTTGCTTTCCTGTACAGGATATTGTAATATAAAGTAATGTTTACAAAGCACCCTAATACTGTATTGATAAACACTACTGAAATATTGATGACAAAACTAATGCAGTGAAGATAAAATATTGAATAGCTGATAATTAGTAAGTTATCCCATAATTGCACAATCTTAATTGTTGCAAAAGGCAAGCCTTGAAATGATTGTAACTGTAATGTATGGTTCCTCTGAGTGGAATTCCCAAGGACTTTTTCCCATTGAGAAAATGGAAAATATGGGCAATATGTTCTCTCAGGTTACCCTAATCTCAGGTGGGATCTTTTATCCATACGGATGTCTGGCATTTGAAGTAACACTTTGGAATGACTGATGAGCATTTTGAACTACATTCTTTTTGGAAACACTGAGATTTCTGTTCTTCTGTGTGTTACTAATAGCAGAGGAGTAATGTAACAGAAATCTAGACTTTCATTCCAGTGTCTGGGCAGGGTGAATATAGTAATGGGGTGTAGTTGTTTTCTTTTGTTTTCTCCTTACTGTGACTCTTTGAGCTTGTCTTTTCAGTCTGTGTGTACCTTACAGAAACTTTGCTTATTGACTCAATGTCATTCTGTTTGTTCAGTGTTGAACAGGATTTTCATGGTCTACTTTATTACTTCTTTACCTGCTTTTGCATCTCTTTTTTTTGTCTGTGTGTATATCTCTCTCTTCTGTATTTCCTGTCACATTGGGAAGATTCTTCTGTGCTTTATTAAGTCTAGTGTGGTGGGATGGTCTTTTTGAAGCCTGGCCACCTCTGAGAGTCTAGACATGCTCAGTGATGATGGGATGTTTCAAGTGTTTATTGAGCATACACTTCATTACAGTGCCTCAGACACAGGTTCTACTGTCTCCCAGATGCTACTTCCCTTGTACAAGATGTGAAACTCTTAGATGTTCTTCCAGAAACATAGATATTCTAGCTCACTATTCAGTAATTTGTATTGGAATTCAATTTTATGGACTATTTTGCTGAGAGAAGTCATGGGGCTTGCAATACTTCATCTCAAAGAAGTAAAGTTCAATAATGTTAAAAACAGGGAAACTGGGAAACATTAGGCACATTCAGGAGGTAGGGTAACCAATTCCACCTGTGTTATAACACTCTAAATAAGGCAATTCTCAGTGACTCAAGTCAAAGTTGGCAACCTTTAGTTTTGAGTGCTTTTTTCACTGGCATAGACATCTAATGAAATGCTCTGTGATATAATTGCTGCTAGTGTAGAAGTGAGGAATCTCTACTAAACAACTTCCTTTTACATTCCTCTTCAGTCCTTTATTCTATCAAACTGAATACTTGTCTTCCTAAATAAATGTAATTGCGATCAGGGATCAGTTTCATATCCTACTGTGTTCAGTCTACATATGCAGTTAATACAAAGTTTAGATACTTTTTTCCAACACATAATTTGAGAAATTAATTTCTCTCCTTAGAGCAGTAATATCCTAAATCTCTGTTGGTTTTGTATGTTGTCAATTATGTTGCTTTAGACGGTTCTTTTTTTTTAGCTGCCAGCACTGCCAATGCTGAATTGCCAGTAGCCTTCCAATGTTTAATCATCATACTTGGCAAAACAGCATAGAAAGCCAGTGGCATATATCTAATTGACACTATATTATCTTTTTTTGAAGTAATATTGAAAATGAAGTATTGAGCCTTTTCAATTCTTGCTTTCAATATAGTTATATCAGTCTTAAATTAGTGGACCTCTGCGGCTTTAGTCTAATAGACAAATGTGATCAAGAATTTACCAGTTAGACAGCTCTGTCTTTGGCAATGTAAAAGTTCGTATTTTCATATATGATCTAGGTTTTCCTGCCTCATTTTTACATCCAGTTATTAGCATTGGAACTTTCTATTTAGTTTAGGCATTTCTTTAAGGTATTTTGTAGTCTTTAAAATTATTTGCAGTTTCTATCAGATGTAAAGGAAGTGCAGCTGCTTTTAACACATTTGGTATAGCACATCTGCAAAGGAGTTTTTGCAACTCTGGAGCTGTTGTAAGAAAGTTTATGGGCAGAGGCTATTGCAGGACTTTCTGCTTTCCCTGTCTGTCAGGATGCAGGCAACCTGGGTGAGAGGTTGTACATTGTGTATTAATGGAGATACCAGGTAATTTCATGGCCTGGATTTGTTATCTACATTGTGCTTAGGAGAAAGAGACAAAGGGATGACTAGAGAGGGTGATGGTGATCAAGTTAAATGGCTTTAATCTCCAAAAGAATTAACCTCACCTGCAGTGTGTTTTTTGTTACTGCCTTTGAAAAGAAGGTATTATGAAGCACACTGGGCTGAATGACTTCTCACGATGTTGAACAATATTATTTAGTAGGAATAGCTTTGGATATGGTAGTTGTTTTCTTTATTGCGTGCTCAGTTTTTCAGGTTTTTAATTTCCTTTTCAATGTTCCAGGTTCTTGGATTGTATTCTTTGTATGTAGCTTCAAGCACCTGGGTAAGACTCAATCAGACAGGACACCAGTGCAAAAAAAAGAACTTTTCAAAAGGATGCCAGATGCTTCTCTTCTGCTATCTGGAGTTGGTTAGGCTTTGTTAGTGGAAGAGGCAAGCCCAAAACAGTCAATGATTTGCTTTAACTAGCGTATCCTTCAGACTTCACTTAAAAGCGAGCAATAAAGCTGCTTTTTACTGAACTGCTTGTTAAGCTAAATACTGCATTGAAGAATCAGCCTGTGGTCGGTGAGTGGGTGGCAATGTACTTTTGTAGTGTAGCACTTACTCTCTGTATACATATACTTTCTTAGAAGGTTTTAAAGAAATAATGTAAATAATAAGTTGGTTGTATAATGGTCCTCCAAAACCCTGGGAAGTTTTTTTAACTGCTGTAGTGATTTCAGTAGCTTTCCCCTGAATATTGTGTATAGTATGTATTATACAAGACTCCACAGTTGACAAAGTTTCGTAGTCACCTCAGTCCATCTGTAATACACTTTTTCTTCCATTAATTCTGGAGCAAAATGTTCTGTCCTTGAGAACCCTCTCTGAATCATCCTCTTTAGATTTGACTGCCACCTGTCATTGTGCTCAGTAGGGCTAAAGACACGAGGTGTACAAAAATAAATGATGCCTTTCTCACAACTGTTATCTCTCATATTTGTTCTCAGCAGATCTCTATATTCTTCATTATTTGACAGTATATCTGGCCCATCTTTCACCAAGAGTAACTTGACTTCTTTCCCATAGGGAATGACATGATACGGTTGTGAATTTGAAAAAGCCATTCTTTAAGAATTTCTTTCAGGCAGAAAATTGTATACTAAAGCCACTTCCTAGCTGAAAGTGCATCTGACAGAACACCTACAGAAATAGCTGTTATCATGGAATAGCTTTTTCTAAAAAAAGTATGTATCACCATGGATGCACTCAGACACAAGAGGAATATCCCTTACTACAGGTATCTCTGGTGGGTACATGCATGCAGAAAGGAGAGTACAAAGCATAATAAGCAGGTGGAAGACAAAGAGAATTCAAAGGAGAGAGGTGAATTAAACTTAAGTTTGTTCTCCTCTATATAATTTGCATGATGTAAAGCAGCTTGAGAGTATTCTCAGTGTTGTGGTATTGATGTAAAAGAATTTGTGTTAGTAATTTGGAGTGCTGTTAAGATCCCATTACACCCAGGCTAATATCTCACCAAAAATGAAGTGGAAGCTTAAAATCACAGTAAGTGTAAGCATATTTAGAAATGGAACAGCACAACTAATGCATCCAAAGAATTAGCATTGTGGAATTACGGTGGCGAAGTAAAACAAAGAAACTAATGTAAGGCAATTTAAAAATTCAGTTAATTTAATTCTAACATGGCAAAACCCAATACTGCCTTATTTACAGTGAGTCAAGTAGTGCACAATAGCACTCAGAACCTGTGAAATGAGAAACAAAAATACATTTTGCTTTTAAATATGTATACAACATTTAATCTATAATATAAATATCTAGTATGAGAGCCTAGCTTTAAGAGTTACTTGTAAAGTGTTTGTGAGAGGTGGCAAATACCACAGAACGGTTTGGATTGAAAGGGACCTTTAAAAATAATCTAGTCTAACTCCCTGATGTGGAGAGAAACATCTTTCACTAAATCAGGTGGCTCAAAGTCCCATTCAGCATGACCTTGAACATTTTCAGCAATGGGGCATCCACAGCTTCACTGGGCAACCTGTTCCAGTGCCTCACCACCCTCACTGCAAAAAGTTTCTTCTGTATGTCCAATCTAAACCCTGCCCTCTTTCATTTTAAAACTAACCCCCCTTTTCCTGTCACTACAGGCCTCACTAAAAAGTCTCTCACTCTAATAAGCTCCCTGGATATATTTAAAGGCTGCTATAAGGTCTTCCTGAAGCCTTCTTTTCTCCAGGCTGAACAACCCCAACTCTCTCAGCCTGTCTTCATAAGGAGAAGTGTTTCAGCCCTCAGGCCATTATCCTGATCTTTCTCTGGATCCATGAATATGAATATTGTAATTAAAAATATTTTTTTAGATCACATATTAGTACTGTTTTTTTATTTCTTAGGCATGCTTGAAGAGTGTTCTTCTATAACAAAACTTCAGTTAATTGTATTTCCATTACTACCATTAGGGCTGGTAGGTGTAGGGAAATGGCTGAATTACTCTTCTTAAAAGACTGTACAATTACTTCTCTTTATTCTCTTACTCGTTTTCCCTTGGCTCTCTAAAGGTTAGAATGTTTGCAGAAAACTTACTTTCTATTAGTTTGTAAGAGGACTGATAATATCCCAATCAGTAGTAGTAGTGCTGATGGATTACTTTTTTTTCTTAATGATATAATGACCTCAACAAATAGTTCTGCATGCAGGTTCATGCAGAAAAAGACAAAAAAATGACTATTTTATCAAAGTAACTGTTGTGTTACTGGCTAGTCATAGTGTTCTGTGGGGCGGAAATAAATGCCTTGTGAAGTGTTTAGCACACTGGCCCCACTATTTCTTTATTTGGCTTTGTACAGAGATGGATGTGCACAGAAATTCTCTGTGTAAGGTAACACTGAGTGGTGGTTATTTGTGTGGTAACTAGAGCGATTAAGGTTTGTTTTCTTTTCATTTGAAAGTATCGTTTCTTCTTTGCATCTGTGTGACAGTGCATCAGGAACTTGGTGATGGCTCTGAACGAACTGAAAACTAGGCATTGCCTAATTGATCCCTAGGTTAAATCAAATAACTTTATTTTTTTGTTAATTAAAAAAAAAATATTCATTAAAACTAATGCTGTAAATTACAAGTAGTATGTGAACATACTCAAGGTGGATGATGTTTATGAAATTGAACGAGTTCACCTGTCATTTTTCAGTATTTTTGCATGTACTTTATAGTAGAGATGCCTAATTTTTACAATTTATTTTTTTTTTTCATTTTTGTTTGTTCATTAAAATTGTTCTGTTCCAGATTGGCCTGTGTTAATGGAAATAGTGACCACATGCAGAACAGTAACATATGAGTGGTATAAGGTTAGAATTTAGGCATTGTTGTGCAGCTGCAACAATGAATCAACTTGTGTGGGATTAATAAGTGAAATAACATTGGAGATGAAGAGCCCGCAAAAGCAGAAAAATTAAGATACAGGGTCATCCATACTATTGTTAGTGATTACTATATAAACTCTTCATTTTTTAATTTTAAACTTCTTTTATTGGATAGCTATTTATTTTCAAGATTTAAAAAATGTCTACAGAAATTGAAAACTAAAATGCTCTTTCTCTAAGAGGTGACTTCACATGGAAATTATTCTGTGCTACTGCATATTGTTAATCTGAGATGCAGTTAAAAGGAACATATAACATTCATTTAATAAACTGCCATCTTTTTTTTGCCATCTTAAAATGCACTCATTTTTGACAGATTCTCAACATACCACTCGAAATAGCAGTATTTGGACATCAGCTGAAAATATAGGTGGAATACCTTATGAGGGAGGAACATGCATCATTCTTTTGTTTAACAACTTGCTTCGACAGATTATATTTTTGGGGGTACATTTGTGTCGGAACTTTTTTTAAATTTTCATATGCTCAACAGATTCTGAAGGAAGTGGTCATGGGAGTGAAGATGCATCAAAGGACAGTGGTGAAGGTTCCTGTACTGAATCAGAAGAAAATATCTTGGAGGAGGAACCAGCAGAAGAGAAAGTTGAAGAACAGCAGCCAAAAAGCTCCACTGAGGAAGAGGTGACAACAGCAGACAAAGAGGTAATTAAAACTGAAAGGAAAGAGCAAGAAGATGAAGAAGAAAAGCCAAAAAAGAAGAAAGAGAAGGAGAAAGCAGCTGAACCTGATGCTGTGGCTGATGAGCAAATAAATGAACCAAAAAAATGGAATTTACGCAGGAATCGACCTTTGCTGGATTTTGTATCAATGGAAGAACTAAACGATATGGATGACTATGATAGTGAAGATGACAATGACTGGCGGCCTACTGCTGAGAAAAAAAAAGGGAAGAACGCACTGCGAAAAGAGGGAAGTGATGGAGATAATGAAGATGATGAAGATGATGGGAGTGGAAGTGATGAGGATGACAATGATGAGGAAGGTAATGAAGAAGATAATAGCAGCACGGCTAGTGATGGAGGATCCAAGAAGAAGAACAGTAAAGTTCTTAACAGGAATAATGCAGATGATGAGGAGTTGACAAATGATAGCCTGGCTCTTTCACAAAGCAAGAGCAATGAGGTAGTGCAACCAACTTTCTATAATATATCTCTTGACAAATGGAGACTACTCCCCAGTAGCTATTCTGTTAATTTGAAAAGTTATACTGATTGGATGAAATTTCATTTACAGGAATAGGTGAAGCAGCAAAACTGTGCTAAATAGGTACAGCATATTAAATAACCTTGCGTGGACCATTTGGCCAATCTAATGCCACTAAAGTCAATAGAAAGATTTCTCTTGGCTTTAGGTGGGATTGGATTAGTTTAAACACAATTAGGAGGTCCAGTATGCAAAGCAACATGTACTAGCAAGACTTCTAGTTCTGTTTTAGTATAAATGTTGTATATCTATAATGTTCTAAAACTTAAAAACATCTGTGATACATTCATAAAGTATCTAAATAATAGTTTTTTATTTATCCTAGCCCTTTTTTTGCAACAAACTTCAAAGTGTGAACACTGGTTCACTAATAGAATTCTAAGTAAAGAAATATGCACACTACGTTTAAAACTGAAAAGGATAATAACAATAATTCATGTTGAGTTTTCTTATAATTCTCACAAATGAAGTAATTCCTTACAGTACTAAAAAAGCATTTGTGAACTATTATTATTTTAAATATCTGCTGATCACAGAATGTGAAAATTATGTGTTTAATAATGTAACTTTTTTTTCTTATACACAATTACAGTTGCCTTGAAGGTTGTGCCTGTGGAGAAATTAAGATAGTAGGTTGTCAGGATGGCTGACTTCATGTCCTGCAGTAGCAAAATTCTGAACACAGTGAAAAGAGTTGCTGTAAAATCTACATTTAATTTTCAGGAAATAGTTGAAATGTCAACATAACACTTGAGAAATGATAGTGGTGCAACTCTACTTAAGGTTCTGCTGTTCCCTTTAATCTTTATTTTAATGTGTAACATGACAGGAAACTAGACAACAGTATTTAGAAGAATTAGCTGTCAGTTTCAGATGCTTTGTTATGTATTTTATATATATTATTGCAAATAAGCTGTGCTGTTTAAATTATTGGAAATAATTGTGACTGAAAAAAAGTATAATTTTGGCATGCTTTTAACTTCTTGTATAAGCATCTTATTTTACTGCCTAATTCTACTATTGTTGCGTGTATTCTTTTGGCTCAGGAGCTGAAAGGGCTTTATTGATACTGATAATTAGGATTTCAAAAAAAGAAAGGTGATTTTCTTGCAAAGTTGTTTCCCATATTGGAAGGTGTGAGTCTATACTCTTAGGGATATACTCTTGGATATGTCCATAATTTCCAGATTCTGTTCTTGCCTTGGGTTTAGGACATTGATCAAAAGATAAAACCAAAATTCAGAAATTTGAAGTTCAGATTACAATTTTTTAACTGATAATTTACTGGATGTGAAGCAAAGTACTGTTTATGAATAGGTCAGTAGCAAGAAAGAAGTCTTGCAACAGTGAGTATCTGTAGACTGGATTATAGCCTGTAAGTTTTAGATTCATACTCAATTGTATTTTAACAGTCTACTCTCTACTACTACATGATTTTAAAATATTTTTTAAAAAGGTTAAAAAATCCTGTCTAGCAGACACCTAGACACCTCTAGCAAAATCTCATTATACTGTAGAAGCTAAATTCTTAGAAAACCAGATGTCTGAATGCATAATTAATGCGTGTTCAGGTAATTAAATCTGAGCATGTGGTAGTGTCCTTATAATGCATTCTTTCTTCCTTTACTTTTTGGGGGTGGATGTTAGTGTGGATGGGTTGTTGAAGTTTTGTCTCCGTGTGGTTTTTATTTTATTTTTCTATATTTTACAAAAATATTTTTTAGGTCTGCATATTCAATATTTTAACCTGTGCTGTAGTAAAATACTGTGTGCTTGTCTACTGTATTAAGCACAGAAGACAAACTTAGCTTTCTTTACTAGGGTCAAGCATCATTAGTAGATAAATGGTGCTTCTCTGTCTTTATAATTGCTATCACTTTATGGGATTCCTCTATTCTAAATGAGGTGATAACTTTTTTTTTTTTACTCCTTTAAAGTTGAAAGTATATAGCTTGAAATACTCATTTTCTTCATTTACAACACAGAAATGGGAATTACATAGTGATCCAAATGATCCAAACAGTGATCCATAGTCATCCAAATCCTTTCTCTTGGGTAAGGAGCAGGACTTGTTTAAGAGATGGAAGCAGTTAGCATCTCTTTCTTGAAGTTCCCATGCTTTAGACAAGTTGGGTCTGCTTCTAGGATGGGGTGTTTCAGGTGCTTACATGAGCTAAGCAGGGTAGAGCAATAGCAGACTTTCTTCAAAATGCTTTGCAACTTTGTCCTAAAAGGAGGATAATGGAAGAAATGCTCTGTAAATCTGAAGTCTGTATTGAAGAATCTTCTATTTTTTCACAATTAGTTGCCTTCTTCTAAGCAAACATGACTGTGTGAATGATTGTATAATCTTTCATTTTTACTTCTAGATTTTTGTGGGTTTTTTTTTGTTTGTTTTTTATTTTTGTAAATCATGTTTGCTTTTGTTGTTTAGAGAAAATGGATGGGTGATCCAGAAGCCTTTCCTAGTTGCTAGAAGTTTTTGACGTTCACTAGGTAAAAAACATTATAACAAGCCACCTCTGTTAGTTGCGGTAAAATATTTGAGCCCAGCTTTAGGTGGTGAGGTTATTTTACCCCTTTATCTTGCTTTAAAATCAAGCAGAGGTTCCCCCCTCTTGCCATCCATATACCTGTCCAGATGTACCTCAAGTATGAAGAGTCTTCATTAATGATTCACTAAAAAATTTGTGTGAAGACTTGCTGTATCAGGTTGAGAGGCTATAATGAAATAATTGCAGAGATTAAGAATTTAAGATCCTTGAGGAAGAATGCCTACTTTAGATAGCATTCATGGTACTTTTTATCTACTTAGGCTACATAGCCACAATATTGGTGCTGTATTTTATGTCATAAATGTGGGGCTAGAATGAGAAAAATACATTTGAGAGGGTAACTTCCACCTACGATACCACAGCAGTTTTGAATATTCTCAGTTCTCTTTGAATGGATTGCCATTTAGGCTTAAGCTGTCAGCTTCTGCTCTGAAACTATAAGTATTTTTTTAATTCTATAAGAATTATTTTTTACTAGTTTGCATAGATTTACATTCTGTGTATGCCTTCCTGTCACCAGTGAAGGAAGTTCAAGCTCAATGTTTGCTTTTAGTATAAAAAAATAATGTATGGAAGCTGAGAAACTGCAGAAGAGACAGTGGCTGCATCTCAAAATGAAAATAATAAGCCTTGGATGGTGTTAATAAAAAAAAAATAAATTTACATACGGCTTTATTTGATTTGTTAAACACTTCTCTGCTTTTCCATAGGGAAATCCCTTTTAAAAGCCACATTCTTTTAAAGTGGTGTAATTCACATTGAAGGTTGCCAGAACAGAGCAATGTACTTGTACTGCAAATACTTACTCCTGTATATCATCAGATGGAAATAAGTTGTTACAGTTTTAATAAGTCATACGGTTTTGCAGAGAAACGTACATTTGCATTACAACAAAATAGATCTGAGTTGATTGTTATATTTTATGTAAATGAAAATTTGGCAGGCTTGTGTTAGCTGTTTATTTTCAGATTCTGTATATCCTCATGTCATTGTTTTTGGAAGGTGGAAATTTTAACAAAATGAAACAACTTTTCTGAACGTTGGGACATTTCAAGATTACCTTTGGCTTTGTTGTTTCTTTTAAATGGTTTATTAGGTATGTGTTTTTTTTCCTTTTTGTATAACACAGTTGGTTTAAAGACATAGGTTTCTGTCTGAGGAAATACGACCCCTCTCTGGTCTTTGGATCTTATAATATCTGTAGGTGTACTGAGATGAGATTCTATCCAATCCTTTCTCCCAGCTCTTGTATTTGTGGATGAAGCATTTGAATGTTTTGACAACAAAGAAGCTTTTAGTCTTGTGAAAATAATTTTCCTTCTGTTTTTGTTGGTTGTTAAAAAAATGAGCAAGTAACAGGTCTTTTGTTTGTTTTAAATAAAATTGAAGTTCCTGGTGTAATTCATGTGCCTTCATTTTTCAATATTAGGACTCGCTGATCCTTGAGAAGTCTCAAAATTGGAGTTCCCAGAAAATGGACCACATTTTGATTTGTTGTGTTTGTCTTGGAGACAACAGTGAAGATGCTGATGAAATAATCCAGTGTGACAACTGTGGAATAACGGTGCATGAAGGTAATAATACAAGCCTTCATTTTCATTGTGGGAGGAAAGCATGTGCTTTGCTTTTGACTTGCTTTCTTAAATAAACCAAAGCCTTTGAACTCTGCTGGGTAATTTTTTGTAATACTACATGGATCCTGTTTACTGGATGCAAATACAAGCAACTACATGGTCTACTGATACCTGTGTAAGGAATCTCAGTCTGCAAATACTAGAGCTATAAATTGTATTTTCAGGACTTTAGGATATTATACAAAATGTTTTTTTGTCTTATCATTTCATGATATGAATTTGATTGCATAACTGGGATATAAAATCATAAGAGTAGGAGGTCTTTTAAAAAAGGAGGGTTTTTTACATATGTTTTTTGTGTACCAAAAAGGCAGAGAGATGGGGAGAAGGAAAAAAAAGAATTGTCCGTAGCATTTGGTTTTAAGTGAAAACAGCTAGCCTTGAACCTTCCTAAAATTTCCCTGAGAATTTGAAAAGGGGAAATTTTAAAATTAAAACATACTCAAATAATTGTTTTTTTCTAATTCCTTCAAAATCTAGCCTAGGTGTATGTTTCTGAATGCATAAGTAATAAATGAAGACACAGACTATCGTAAAGAATTTGCAGTCAAAACCAAAATGCAATGAAACAATTACTCTTTGTTGCTGTTGGTTTATTCATTCAACTTGGGTTGATAAATTGGGAAGTAGTTGAAGAAATAATTCCTATCTTACAATATAAACATTGCTTGCAACCTTGAGAATATATATTTTTTTTTAATGTTAATAGAGGCAAGGTTTACTCTAATGTAATTTGCTTTAATCTGTACCTTGTAACTGTGTGCCCATATCATGGACATAGGCTGTATTTTAAGAAGTCCTTTGTAATCTTATACACAACTGCTTTGTAGTTTGAAAAATGTCTTCCAGGAATAAGTGATTCTGCTTTGTAAACACACTGGAATACAATAGTTTGGTCTTTTTGCAGGTTTCCTTTAGCAGGTAGATTGCTGTGGCTGCGGATGGCATGCTGTGTCCTGAAATTTTTTCTAATACTTTAGCTTTTGAGATTTTCAGAAAATGCAGTTTCTAGCACACTGTTGAATGAATAGGGTCCTATTTATGAATTGGGTAGAAATCAATGCAGTGATCTTTAGCTGGGCTTGGCTGCAGTTAGGACGAATAATACACATTTAATGTGAACTGATTTTTATACATAGCAGTTGTGTTTTCTTTAGAATCTCAGATCCAAGATGCCTGTTATCTTGAAATGTCCAAACAAAGCTCCTAGAATACCCCAGTGTTTTTCTTCATAGTTTCTGTACGCAATTTTAAGTTGTATTATAAATTGTTACACTTCTCTAATTTTCTATAGCACTGTAGAAACTTATTTGGAAGGAAGTGCACTCCTTTCACACCCTGCTGGTGTCCCAGCCAGGGGCCCACATAGTGATGATATTGATGATTTAATTGTTCGTTCCCTGAAGACCTTATTTTCGCTTTCTCTGTTGACTATTATGGAAACTGTTTTACTTTACAGGGAGAGGTTTTATGCTCTTGGTTTGTGCCTTTGTGTTTTGCTGAAGTGAAGGTTTCTGCCTACCACAGAACCTTGCAGGTGGAAAAAGTATTTCTATGGTGGCTGCCTCTGTATTTGAAAATGCTGTCCTTGAGTTTGGGCTATTTCTTCTGGATACCAGGACTCCCATTCTTCTCTGGAGGGAGTTCTTGTTCTACTTTTAGCTACTGGTCAAAGGGCAGATCCCATGCGATAGTGTGGCCCCTTCCCATGAAGGTGAGCCTTCCAGTTGTGATCCTTAAGTGGCTGTGTGCCAGCATAGTTGTTGGCAAGAGTGTTACTCTCTTTCAAAGGGTAGTCTAATGCTGTCTCCGTTCTCCAATGCTCCAGTAAATTTTGCTTTTCTAGCACAACGTAGCTTATCTCTGCATATTGCTCCATTAGTCATGCATCTGGGTACTTGGTACCAGTGCCTTTTCCTTTTGAGTCCCTGGTACAGCAGTCGCCTTTTCAGTCATGATTGGTATTCCCTTTGGTTTGCTTGCTTGCCTTAATCAACTGTTACAGAAGGTCTTCCATGGGAAAAGAGGGTTGATAACTCATTTGGGAGCAACTCTGCCAGTGCTCATGTGAAACACAGCAACATGGCCACAAGATAGAGAGGGATCCTCATTCAGAACTAGAGGCATGAGCAATTAATAAACACACTTGCCATGAGATTGCTGCAAATTCAGTTTCCTTTCCAATGAAAATATTGTGTGACGTTTGTATCATGTGCATGACCTGCATGACTTGTCCAAAAGCTATCTTTGCTCTACAGATATGTTCAAAACTCCCTAAACTTAGTGGAGCAAACAACTGGTTAAAAATGACAAAAATCTGTAATTGCCACTAAAGCTCCTTAAGTAGCATACACTTAATGCTAATTTAACATTCACTTTTACACTTTGCGTAATCTTTAATGTCTGTGTCTAGTTTGGGCCCAACAGGACAACAAAGGAACAGCCCCATGGCTGCTCACTCACCTCCCCTTCACCTACTCCCCCCGCCCTCTCTGCACACACACACTCCCACTCTTGGATGAGGACAAAGCTCATGGGTTGAGACAAAAGACAAGGAGGGCTCTTCACCAATTAAGGTCCTGGGCAAAATAGACTCAACTTGAGGAAAAAATAATAATTTAATTTCACACTAATCAAACACACACAGGGCACAGACAACACAAAGAGCAGGGCTTGCATATGTTACCCCACCCCTCCCTTCTTTCCCAGGCCCAAATCACTTTGTTCTCTCCCTCCTTCCCTCCAGCAGCACAGGTGGACAGGGGAGGGGGTTTAGAGTCAGTTCACAGGCTGGTGGTTGCTACTGCTCCTTCCTCCTCAGGAAGAAGGATTCCTTACAGTCCTTCCCTGCTTCCCCACGGGGTCCCTTCCATGGCAGAGAGTCCTCCACGAACCTCTCCTTCATGAGTCCTTCCCACGAGGTCCAGAGCTGCTCCAGCCTGGGCTTCCCACAGAGTCACGGGCTCTTTTGGGAACAGCCACCTCCCCTGGTGCCAGTCTTCCAAAGCTGCACAATCAGAGTCCACTGGCAGCAAATCCTCTGGCCACAAAATCCAAGTCCACTGGACAAGTTAACCCCTCCTGGCGCCTTCAGGGAATGTTCCACCACGTTCCTCCACTAGTGCAGGAGGACAGCCTGCCATGTTGCCATGGGTTGCAGGGAAACTTCTGCTAGGGCACCTTCTTCCCCTCCACCAGGACTGCTAGTCTTCTCCAGCACAGCTGGAGTCTCCTTTAAGTGCTTCTCTGCTCAGGTGTTACCTCAGTTCTTCCAAATGTTAATCGCAGAGACTCATCTATTGTTCCTCTGATGGCTCCTTGGCTGGTTTTGGAGCAGAGGGAGCTTCTCAGCTTCTCACCCAGAGCACCCCTGGGACCCCTTCCCCTGCTACCAAAAAACCAACCAAACCAGACCAATCTGAACAGTCTGTAATTAATTAATTAGTCCTCAATTAAAATTTTGTTCTAATTTCATGTGTAAACACATTCCCTCCCCCTAAAAAACAAAACAAAACAAGGAAAAATGTTTGCATTGCTAGGGAAAAAATAATCCAATGAATTTGTAGTAGTACAGTTGCTTTTTGGAGTGTTTACTTCTTTGTGAATATCATTCTAATTTATTTTTATAAAAATCTTCTTTAGGCACAAATCTGTTGTTTTTAATACATGCTTTTGGGGTAAGATCTTGTAATAGCAGAACACCCTCAACATTGATGTCAGTTTTTCTGACATGCTGTTTGCAGTGTATCTGAAAAATGTCTGGTGCATATCAGCATATGCCATAACTGTGGGTGGTAGCCAGCTATTGCCCTTGGGTTAGTTGCTGTGAATTAAGTGACAGAAATTCTACATTTCTCTAGCTATTTCTGTTCCGTCCCCTCTATTTGTTTCTTACTTTACTCTGATGTGTATGGCAGGGAATAAAGTTTCTCTTGCTAAAAGGAATAGTATAGTCACTATATGCTTTACCATATAGGAAAACATGTTTGTGTTTTAATTTTGTCACTTACCCTGGTCTGTTACTGTTTGGTATAAAAAAATATTTTGCAAAATAAGGTACTTTAGTGCTCTCCATTTACTAACTAAAATACTGTTCTGAATTTATCATGTGTGAATTGTTTAATGTTGTTATTCTAAACTTTGCGTCTAATCAAGGATTTAATTTTGTGAACCTACAGTTTACCGTAAACTTCATGTTCTCATGATCTTTATAATAAGATCATATTTTAGAGTACATGTAGATGTAGTTAGCATATGCAGAGGTTTTGTTTGGCAAAAAATTACCTTCCCTGAGAAATGGAGGAACAAATGCAGCTGAAGCAGGAATTGGGTTTCTTCCTGTTTCCCTCAGTGGTATAAATTCAGCATAATGGTTTTAATAGCATTTACTAGTGTTGGCAATTTCATTTTAATGACAATGACATAGAAGAATAAGCTACTGACAGAGTACAATGACTTTAAAATCAGGGAATAAAGAAGGTTCTGTATAAAAGGACATTCGATAGACAATTTGGCTGTAATTGTAGTACATAGATGCAGTTTGTGGAACAGTAAATGTGAGAGTTTTAACTTCTTGACTTTCATGTGTTTAAATTAATAAGTTAATATTACATTAAACTATTTCAGAAAGGTAAGACAGTCTGGGGAAATCACTCTTCTGATTTTAGCAGACTAATGGCACTTAGGTTAGAAAAGTAAATGTAAATACTTCCAACTGGTGAAGAAGCATGTGTTTGAAAGAAGCTGATTTTACTTTGCTGTATAGATTGATGTCAGTATTACTGCTTCTGTAGTGTTAGGTAATTTTTAATAATTACATTTAGAAAAAGTTTATACGTTAAGAAGTCTGAAGGAAATCTAAAAGGGTTAATTAGTCATCAGCTCTGGGTATCAGTGGGCTGTGTGTTTGTACATTAATGTAATTGCTTGAAAGTAGCTTTACTGACATGTATTCAAGATTGAATTATTATAACTTAAAAAATGACTTTCTGGAGTAATACTTAAAGCTGATACCACATTATAAAGAAAATGGAGTTACCTTACATGTGAGCTATAGGATCTTTTATATGCCTAATAGAATTTGTCTCTGAATGCACTTCTGTGCATTACTTACCCTTTGATTTTAGAATACTTCTATAATCAAAATAAACTGTCTGGCTTCTTATTTAAATTCTTATTGATGAGCTTTAGTCTGTAAGGGAAGACTATATTTCTTGAATGATTCCTACAGTGTTATGGCCTATTTCCTGAACGTAGCTTTAGTCTGTTATGGAGTCCTCTTTCTGTCACAAGGGGAGTTAGAACACTGTTACTATTTTATTACAGTCAGTGGATAATGAACCAAAGTCACAAATTATGTTTAATTACAGAATTCAATAATTTAACTGTTCTGCAACAGCAAATGTTGACTTGATCACTGTATTTGACAAATAGCTGAAATCAGTCTTTTAGTAAAGTCTACTATGTTTTAAGCGTTAACAATGAAACCAGTTTTTCTCATTGAATATAAAATAAATGTTCAAAATGTGACATATGTAGAAATACAGTTTTTTGTTGATGAGCTTTAAGATATTCCTTTTTGCCATTTACAGTAGTAATAATAATACTTGTATTCCTATGCAAAAGGTAAATAACCTTCTAAATCCCTTTTATAACCATACTTGAGTTTTGAAGTTACATGTCTTTAAAGCTCAGTCCTACAAACCCTGAAGTATACAAATACTGCTTTTTATTTCATGTGTTTATTCTCTTTTAGTTGATTTGGATTCTGAGTGCAAAGTGGGAGAGTGGAGTGCATATTTATTGACTGGATACTACTGGCATAATCAGTCTTTAAAAAAAACAACAAAAACTACACAACAGAAAACCCACACCTAAAATTATACTCATTTTCAACATAGGGAGGAGAAGGACAAGAAAATGCAAGATAAACCTGCAGATGCTCACAAATTTCTTAGCTTGTTGCATTAAATCTATTTCTTTATTTGAAAAAATGTTCTGAGTTTTTCTTAGACTTGATTAGTTGCTTCAAGTCTTGTTTTCTTACTTTTCCTTCTTAATGGTTAGTCTGGAAGAATGCCAAGTATTGCTAAAATAATGAAGTAAAACAGCCATTTTCTTCTTGTTTTTCAGTTATAATCTAAGACAGTTGCATGAAATAGAATTGGAATCTCTTTAAAATATAATTTTTGCACTACATATAATATTTAAAAAATATTGTAAGCTTTCTTGGAACGCAGTATACATTCAGGACCTCTGAATGTATGTATCCATGTCTTCTGCTGAAATCTTAACTGACAGCCATCTATTTCTATAGTTATTGTTCCTTACATTAGTCTTCCGTTTTTTGTGTGCAGGTTGCTATGGTGTTGATGGAGAGAGTGACTCTATAATGAGCTCAGCTTCAGAAAATTCCACAGAACCTTGGTTTTGTGATGCATGCAAATGTGGTGTCACACCTAGTTGTGAACTGTGTCCTAACCAGGATGGGATCTTCAAGGAGACTGATGCAGGCAGGTAAGACTGAAGAGGTGATGTTTTGATTTTGGTATCATCTTACATTTAGAAGATTGGATTTTGCCCTCGTCTATTCTTATAGGAGACAGTGTCATAAATTAAATTTTGTTCATGATATCCTCCCTCTCTCACCTTGCTTTTGAGTTGGGTGTACTTTAGATAATCAATCACCTAATTTTTTGTGTGCAACTGATACTCTTCATGCCCATTATAGTTGTAGGAAGATGTTGTCTTAAGGTTAATTACAGCATGAAGATTTATGGACCTTTGAGCAAAAGATATTCCTAGATGAAACGATGTTCACTTTAGCATTTACTTCTGGAATTGATAAATCCTGTTCTTTACTATGACATCACCATGATATGCTAGAAGACCTTTCTTTGTTCGCTTGAACTACTTGTGTGATGCATCTTTTTTAACAAAGAAAACATGCTAGTGAAGGCAATGGGAATCTTTAAAAAGAAACTGCTTTTTATTTGCAACAGAAATGCATTTTACATATTAAAAAACTGCTTCCTGTGTAGAGGAGTTAATATCCAGTGAACTCTTACTTGGTATTCAGACTCATTCAAGGATAATGGCATGAAAAACTTCTCTCACTTCAGCCAGTGGCTTGAACTGTTGACAGCAGGGTCTGGGGATCAGAAACTTAGGAAAAAAAGGTGTAGTTATTTTGGGTTTGCTCAAGCATGGAGGTTGCAGTGAGAAAAGCAGCATTTGAGTTCCTTAAGCTTTACTTCTCAATAGCAGCTCTATGTTTTAGCAGGGACAGCTCATGTGGCTGGTCACAGTTGTTCTCTGTTGGTGATTGAGCTTGTAGTGTTCTGTATCTGCTGTCAGTTGCTGTAGAATTCAGGCATGTGTTCTTCTAGTTCAATTACATCAGCTGCCAAAAAGCTGTATTTTATGCCTTGCTAGTATTGTGCATACTTCAGGATCCTGAAGAGCAGCGAAACTCAAAGTGCTCTTCTTTAGTTAATAATGCCACAAAAAAGAATGATGAAGCCTGCAGCAGAGTGGGAAAGCACCTCCAGATTTCTTGTCGTATTGGATTGGGAGAAATATATGGCCATGGGAAAAAATCAAGTCATGTGCTCTATTTCAAGGATGGAAGAGTAGACTTTATCCTTTCTGCAGTGTTCCGCTCTGTGCAAAGTAATGGCACTGCAGCCTTTTACAGACTGTGCTCAAGTCTATTGACTCTGAAGTGTGACGCAAGTGGGAAGACAACTCCATGCTTTGTTTTAGGAGAGCAAAGGACTGGGTATCACTGATGTTGGATGATGGAGAAAAGTAATGACTATATTGAAGTTATGTTAAAGATATTCTGACAGATTGACTATATTATGATTTTTTTTTAATTATTAAAATTATATTATTGATTTTTGAGAGTATGCTTTGCTTTTGGTAGTTTCCAGCCAGAGATGGGTTCTATAGGGTAGCGTTCTGGTCTGATTTGAGAATAAATGGATTGATTCCCATTTGATGTCTTCCATTCCTGCCACACTGGGAAAATAAATGAAGTTGTATATATTAATGGTAACTTTTTTTTTTAATTAAAGGAGAGAGCAGGATTATCAATATTGTCCCATTAATGGCCAATGTAATTAGTTTTTTGGTAGTTGGTGGTTCTTTTTTGTTGTTGTTGGTTTTGTTTTTTCAGACCATGACAATTCAGTCAATTTTGCCATACATTTTACAGTATATAAATTGCAGTTGTGTGGTAATATACAAAGTATTCAGATGCTGGCCTGTCAATAAGCTTTTCATTGATCACGTTAACATGAGTAGGCAATAATTAGTTGGTAAGTCTGCTCAGAGGAGACAAAAGCTTTCTTAATCCTATTTGAACATACCTGTTTGAGATAGGGAAATATTGCTGCTGCTGATGGATGAGTTGGACAGAATCCAGTTAAATATTCAGTATTAGCACAAATGCTCTAAATAATTTAAATTTTAGAAATGTCAACGCATTACTGTAAAGCCTTTAATGGTTTTTAACATGAATTCATAGACACATTACTATTCACTTTTAGGATCGAGATGCTCAGTTTCTGGTCTGCCTTAGATTCAACACCGTGTGTGTATCACCATTATAAAGCTATTAAACTTAAACAGATTGTACTTTTCAGTTCTGTTTTCTGTGTTAATATCATCTTGCTATATGGAAAAAATGTTTTAAAGACTAAAGTAAATTGTCTACTTGTTAGGAAATGTGAGAATCAATATCTCCTGGCAAATTTTAAAGCAACCTTTTTTATTCCTGTGTTATGTAGGTCATTTTATGCACTATATGTGTAATTTGTTGTGTAACTGTAATAGGAACTACAGTCAACATTTTAAAAAACTGCTCTAGTTTCTTCTTGTAAAACGATGGTATGCTTTTGGGTTGTGTGGAAGTTTTCTTTGTGACACTGGTTCTCTGCAGAAACAAATGCCTACTTTGGTTATTGTGGGCCTTAACACTGTTTTATTGTAATTATTGTATTTTTAGCTGCTAGATAATGCAATATGACTGTTGTGAACAAGTATAATTTATTCTCCCAGGTGAATAGAGCTTATGTACTAGAAAAAACAAATACTAGCTACTATGTGAAAATTCCTGTGCTCTCTTTCTATAATTTATTTATGAATTTGGATTCTCAAGTCTAATGGAGCACTACAGGGAATGGATCATGTCTTGGGGCAGCCAATGTTTTGGTGTTACTTGTAAACTGCAACCCATTTCTGTTCTTTTCCTGGAATAATAACAGAGAGACTACAGAATAAGAGAGTCCTTCAACTCACCCTATTTGCCACCGTACTGTTTCCCACATCATCCCTTTACCACCTTTTAAAAATAAATTCTTCGTGTACATCAGTGCTGGAAGTGACTCAAACTAAACCTATTCAGTTTCTCTTCATAATCAAATTGGAATAATTTCTCTGTCCTGTGTGCAAGATGAATCATTAGAATAATGAGGTGCTTAATTTCTCGGCAGAAGTCTTTTCACATTAACCTCTCAGTTTCACAACCATAAATTGGAGTTCATGAAATTTTATTTCTCAAAATGCTATTATCTGAGAATATGAATTCTGCCCTTGTTTTGATATGGCATTTTTCTTCTTCCTTAATCAACATCTGTCATCATTGCTGCAAGCTAAATGGATGGTAAAGTTAAAAGGAAGATTATTCTTCTCTGATTACCCAATTTGTCTTAATTACAAGCTTCTAAAATATGTGCAGCTAAACAAATGAGCAGGAAAATATTTAGAACTTGTATTAAAAGCAGATGAAATTGCTTCAGCTGTGAACTTGACTGACTTGTATATGTTTTTTAATAAAGATTCGGGTCTGAGTTCATATATAGGTGGTTAAAGAAATGAGGCACTTGTGTGCCAATCACACTGAAATGGCAGTTTAAATCTGTAATACTGTAATACTTGGGTGACATGTACTAAAACATTTTGAGAAGGTCAGTATGAAGCAAGCAGCCAGCTGTTGGGTTTATCACAGATAAACTCCTGCAGGGTGCAGCAGCATTTAATACACCAGTGGAGCATGAAAAAACTGCAAATTAAACTGAGAAGCAGCTGCTTGTAGAAGATGTGTATCTTTATATTGAACTTTGGAGAGTACATTTAGGAGACTGTATTAAAACTTACTATCAGAAATCTCCAACCAGAACCTTGGATTTTGTTAAGAATAGCAATTGTGGAGATGTGCAACTTCTGTTTATACAAATTTGTTCTATATAACACAGCTCAAAACAACAGAAGGATATAGAAAAGATCTGCAGAATTCAGATGGGTTTTATTTGCAAAAAAAGCAGTCTCTATCTCAAGATTACAGGTCTCATTCTGTGTGGAATTTTACTTTAAAAAATACAGTATTTTTTATTCCTTTTGAACGTGAGTACACTATGCTAATTTAAATGAGATATTTACTTTAGTAAATGCATATTTACCAAAATACACATTTATGCACACACACATGCTTTTTTGTAGAACATTTCATAAAGGCATACTAGTGATTTGGGCCAAAGTATTGGCATTTCTGGATGCAGAGTGGAAGGGCAGAGATGGTATCAGGTGCCCTGTTCTCCTCCACAGGAATATCTTCTGCCTCCATTGCTTATGTGGGGAGGCAGACAAAAGATGCAATTTTCATGTAATAATGAAATAATACTAATTTTTGTATATAACATTTTATTAAGTTAGGGGCTTGTGCTGGTGTACTGGAGTGTTTATACTGGAATAAAAACAGTGATGAGCTTTACTGTCTATCTGTACAGGAAGAAGTTTGGTAGAACACTTGAGTATCTCATCTTGTTCTCTTGGCAGCTAGCATACTGTCATATTTCTACTATGTTATTTAAAGACAAGGTTGTAACTCATCTGTAAAATTTCTCTTGAGTAGTTAAAATGCTTTAACCAAAACAATTTGTGAATGTGGATAATCCTAGTAAAATCTATAAAGAGAAAGCAATGCAGTGGTTGCATGTGAATGTATATTGGGATACATGTGTTTTAAAGAAAATTTACTACTTAGCATCTCAAAGGCCTGGAGCACCTTTGCTACAAAGACAGGCTGAGAGAGTTGGGGCTGTTCAGCCTGGAGAAGAGGAGGCTCCAGGGAGACCTTATAGTGGTCTTCCAGTACCTGAAGGCGCTTCAGGAAAGCTGGGGAGGGGCTTTTCATCAGTGAAGATACTGATAGGACAAGGGGTAATGGTTTTAAACTGAAAGAGGGTAGATTTAGGTTAGGTATTAGGAAGAAATTCTTCATCATGAAGGTTGTAAAGCGCTGGAAGAGCTTGGCTAGGGAGGTTGTTGATGCCCCCTCTGAAGGTGTTTAAGGCCAGGTTGGGTGAGGCTTTGTGCAGCCTGGTCTAGTGTGAGGTGTCCCTGATCGTAGCAGGGAGGTTGAAACCTGGTGATCTTCAAGGTCTCTTCCAGCATTAACCATTCTATGATTCTTTGATCTTAATTTTATAGAGTGAAGTGAGTTAATGGCTTCTAAGTAGTTTCTTACTGGGATTTCTCTGTTAACTAGTTATTATCATGGGTTATTTCTGGGGAAAGTGCTAAATAAACGGTTTGTCTACCAATTTTATACATTGCAAGATCATAGTTTTCTTTTCTAAAGACTTTAATGTATATGTATTTCTGAACTTGCTACCAAACCTTTCATATCTTGCTTTTTTGGAATTTCTATTGAAGCTTAGTAATTCTGAATGTGATAAATTTCAATGTTGTAGTTCTGAGGACCACTGATGAGAAACATGCTAATCTGGGAAACATGGGAAATGAGGGTTACATGCATCTCCCAACTAATGTAACCATTAGCTTCAGTATTTCTCTTGTAGACAACCAGCTGTGTAAGTGCAGCTAAAACCAGCATCTTGTTGCTCTGGTTCTAGTTGATTTTTTTAACTGACACACGGGTCGAAGAGAAGGCAGAGGACATAGGCTACACAGTAGTAGAAAATTGAGGAAAAAAAGGGTACAGCAGCATGGATGTAGATTTAAGCAGCTGGTAACCCCTTAGATTTAAGGAGATTGGAAAGTTGCAGTCTGTGGGTAATGGAATAGCCAAGGGAAGTGTTTCTGTCATCATGAGTCTTCTTGAATACAGGGAGTAGATTTTATGGTTCTATTGGAAAAGAACAGAAGTTTTAGTCTTCACTAATGATACATCTACTGTTTAATGCCTGGGAAGATTTTAAAGTGCTGAATTAATGTACTTGCTAAGGGTCAAACTGCATATTTCAGTTCATTTATGTCTGAGGTCTCCAGTTGTATCTTGTGTCATCTGGGAGCTTGTAGGTTGAAAGTGGTAGCTACGCAGCTCTGCAGTTGTAAGGCAGTTTTCTTGAATAATTTAACAGAAAGTAGCGGTCTTGACCTTCTGTCTGTGACTGTTTGCTCAAACCTAGTGACGTAGCAAGGGGTAGCAAATGGTTTCTGGAATTCTGATAAAACATTATTTTGAGGAGGAACACTTTTTTGGAGTAGTTTGTCTCAGTTGATTTGAGTTGTGCATGCTGTGTAGAACAGGTTTTGAGTTTGTCACTGATGGTTTGTGACAATGAGAGTTGGATCTTCTGTAAAGTGTTCATTACGTAAGGAGAAGAAAATGTGTCTTCTGCTGCAAGGTTGTCTTGGTAGTAACTGAGCGTTTCAGGAGATTATGATGATGGTTATCAAAAGCAGACTTGAAGCTGAAGCCTTTACCATTGTGTTGTATTTAATTATTAGACACTGTGGTCTAGATTCATGCTCTCTCATTTTATGCCCTTCATGGCTGAAGATTGAGACCTTTTACCCTCCAGTTTGTTTACAGCAGGGAAGAATAATACAGTTAAGAAACAGTCTGTTCATCTGAGTCTCAGATAGTAATTTCTGTAATACAACTCAGGTATGTTTATAATTGAACACAGCTGTTATCCATGTTGCTTAAAACTGGTTAGTTTTGGTGATGCTAATAGGTGTAACAGTGCAAAGCTTGATTGACACTATGGTGTTGGTACTTCATAGCTTTATGTCTAGCACTTAATCTTTCTGTGACTATTTGTATATTTTCATTCCTCCTCTTCCCATCCCTTGCCCCATCATGAAAGTATCCATCTGCATTTGCTGTATAGTTAATATAAAAATCTTCATATACATGTTGCATAAGAAGTGGTGTGAAGCCCCACGTGAGAGCCATCAGAACAGAAAGGTGATGGTAGCCCAGCCCTCCATCCAGATGGGCAGAGCAATCCCAGTGGCTTTGAAAAGCCTTGCTTGTATGGTTTGGTGTGTGAGCTGCTGAATTGCAAATATGCATTCTCTCCCTGTTTCTGATGTACTTTCCTTCAAACACATTTTTTTTTAGCATCTTTAACATTTACAAGACACTTTGAAATCTGCAAATGGTGAAAATGATATAGGAACAAAATGTTGATAACAATAACCTAATTTTATCTGCTGTTTTAGGTGGGTCCATATTGTTTGTGCCCTCTATGTTCCAGGAGTGGCATTTGGAGATATTGACAAACTACGACCGGTAACGCTTACAGAAATGAATTATTCAAAGTATGGTGCCAAGGTAAATTTAGAAGAGACATACTGCCAACGAGTAGCTTTATTTTACATTTTTACATATCATAGAATAACATTCATCATCCCAACTTTGTCATTCTTGTTAATAGCAGTTGCAATGAGGTTCAGGACTAAAAATGAGATTAAGTTAGTTCATGGTTGTTATACCATGACAAAGTATAAAAAGTTGTTGTACCATGACAAAGCTCCTCCCCCCGTATTATTTTCCTTACCACTGTTCTCCATATTTTGTGTCACTCTGTCCTCCTAATTTCCCTTATGTTTTATGCTGGTGCTAATTTGTTTCTTTTAAAGTCAGTTAGTGTCAAATTGCCAAAATGTGGCTAAAAAGTGAAGAGGATTTATGGAATTCAAAATGGAGAAATGGAAATTTAGGTTGATTAAGAAAGCAACAGATATACATTCAGTAAGAATTACTATAGGATCTGTATAATTATAAGCTAGAATGCATACAAAAAGGTTGTCTCAAGGCAGTACTTTAAAAAAACCCACAAAAAGATGGGGTCGTCACCTTCAACGAATAAAGAATTAAAGAATTATATATATAGAATTAAAATGGTTGTATATGTAAATATTTTCAATGCAGATCAAAAGTGATCAGGCACAAACCCTACAGAAGACCAGTGCAACATGCAGAGGACAGCGTTCAGTAATTTGCTAAATACAGTTTCTGTAGCTGATGGGACAGAGTGGAGAAGCCATATCTATCAGATTAATCTGAGAGACAGTGACTGCACTCATGCTTCTCTAATGCTTCCTTTGTGCATAGTCAATTTTATTTCCTGAAATGTCAAGTTGGATACTAAATGAAAATAGGTAGTACATTTTTGAAAAATATAATGTATAAAATAAATGAAAACACTTTGGATTGCCTGTGTGCAGCACAGCTGTATCAGGACCATATTCAGCAGGGACCTTCTGAGGCATTTAGCATTTTTTAGAAATATATGTATCCAAAAAAGTCAGAGCAAGCTCCCAAAGCCATACAAACTGTTGTTGCAATTGATCATGCATTTTATTTTATATTAATATGAATGATATGTAGGAGCAGGGCTATGAATTTGGGCACATATTACTGTGAGAAAGCTGAAAGTGAATTGCACAAATGAGGACTCATGACTTGCAGAGCTCTAAACAAATGGTGTTTGCTGATTGAAATGTGAAAGTTACAGTTTACCTAGCTAAATTTCCTTCTGCAAAACCACTTAAATGTAATACTCTTTTTTTTTTTTACTTAATGTCTTCTTACCTGTTACATGTTGCTGCTGCACAGCTAAATACTGGCCTTTTAGGGTAGCGCATGTGGTGTTCTAAGCTTCTTAATGACTGAGTTTTCTTCGCTGTTCTTTTCTGCTGTTAACTTTCTGCATAGAGATATTTTCTGTAGGTGATAAGATAATTCTGCTCTGTATTCAGTGTGTGAGAGATGAAGAAATGCACAGTATATTGTTTTAGGTCATCTTTTACACTGGATAGCAGTACTGCTTTAGCAGCCCATGTTCCCATTTGCTTGTTCCTGCTTATGTGCTCATCTCTCTCATTTACTGGCACAGCTGTTTGGTGTGATTTTTTTGTTGAAATTGATTGAGGAACTGATCTCACTGAAAAATAAGTTTGTTTTTTTCCCAGGTCACATTGGCGGATGTCAGTTTGTTGTGTTGCAAACAGCTGTGCCTAGAATGCATGAAGTTTGAAGCCCTAGTGCAGTGTTTATGTGAATCACAACTTTCCTTACTGTTTTTTATGATTTTGAATATTTCTTTCTGCATTGTCACACGTTTACTCCTCAGTTGTTGCTTATTAAAATACATCTAAGTAATTATCTATGGTTTTCAGTCATCCAGAGTGCTGCTCCTCTTTCATTGTTTGCCCTCTGAACTTGTTGAAAAGTTGAACATTTCCTAAGCAGTAATTTTACCTTATGATACCTTACTTAAGTAATTAATTTTGCATGAATCACTTGGGTGGTATTTAGTTGTTACTCAGAAGGGAAATACAAGATAGACATCCATATAAAAAAAATCATCCAACATGCTGTTTAGGTTGTTTAAGCAATTTTCTTTTGCTCGTTGAAAATTAAGTCAGTAGTGGGGGTTGGGAAGGGGTGGAGTTTTAAATAGTGTCAACTGTCAGCAGCTTACTTGGTTTGTTTACCAAATAGGAGTAAACATGCCTGCTTGGGTTTTATATGTAAGATGTAAATTATCAAATATTAGGCAAAACACAGCCAAAATATTTACTGTGATGTTTTCCACCCTTCTTTTTACAGGAATGCAGTTTTTGTGAAGATCCTCGTTTTGCGAGAACTGGTGTATGTATTAGTTGTGATGCTGGAATGTGCAGAGCTTATTTCCATGTAACCTGTGCTCAGAAGGAAGGTCTCCTCTCAGAAGCAGCAGCAGAAGAGGTAGCTATGGAAATGACAGAATAAAAGAGTTCTATTAAAAGCTTGCGAAGATGACCTGAAATTGTACATTTTTTGCTCACTAATCCTGAACAAAGTTTTTGTAAATCAGTAGCAAGTAATAGTTTGTGTTTGTTCACCAGATTGTCCGACTCTGAGCACCTTTTGAAATGGTCTGGAAAAAGGGATAGAGAAAGGTAACACAGAAGTTGGCTTAATAGGCTATCAGTCAATACAGACACGAATTCTGACTCTTTATTCTTGAACTTCATTTGGCTTGACATACTTAACTTAGCTGTGTATGCAGTGTAGTAATCTCTGCTTCATACCAAACAGGACTGTCTTGAGAAATTAACTAAATTTCTAATGCCATTTTTTTCATACATCTTTTCCAGTGTTATCTTTAAAATGCTGTACAGGTAGATGACTTTTCATATGGTAACGTGGATCTTAGGTTTGCAAGTGCTAGAAGTTGCTAAGAACTTACAGCCATGATAATGTGCAGATCTGATGGAGCAAAGAATGAAAAATGGGTAAAAAAATTATCTGAGATGTGATAAACCATGTGAGGGTATAACCATCAAAAACATTTGGAGGATAATTTGAGATAACCAAATATATTGCCTTTTGTATTTTACATAATTGGTAATCTTTTTTTAAGATTTAACTTACAAGATTACACAGTGGAGCAAGAGGAAGTTAACAATTTATGTTACCTGTTAAATGAATATGTACCTAGGAGTTTCATCTGGTGTTTAGTCTGGGAACACAAAATTAAAGATTGAATAGTAAAACATTAAAGATTTAATGCATTTAAAAGCATTTAAGGTCACCGAATGCAAACAATGGAAAGAAACTTCATATGGTAAACTATATCCAGATGACAAAATTTATTTAGAAACATACCTATTAGTTGCTTTTAAAAACATGTCTATTTGAAAGTGGAATGATTGTCAGAATGTTTGTGCTGTTATGAGCCTTTTGGCCTTGTATGTCTTACTTTATTTTCTTTCCTTCCTCTTTGTTTTCTCTGAAACAGGACATAGCTGACCCTTTTTTTGCGTATTGTAAACAGCATGCGGACAGGTTAGACAGAAAATGGAAAAGGAAAAACTACTTGGCATTACAGTCTTACTGTAAAATGTCCTTGCAGGAGAGAGAAAAACAGCTCTCACCAGAAGCTCAGGTATTTTTTCATGTCACAAATGTATCTGTATTAATAATTCATGTTAAATAAGAACAAAATTTAAAGGGTGAGAAATTGTTTTTTCTAGTAGGAACTGAAATGTGAAATATATTGATAGTGCATGATCATTTAACAAAGCATTAAATTCTTTGTATGTTTTAGTCTCTAAGAACAATTCTTAATAAACTGACAGGGATATCCATGCTTGTCTGAATTGAAAAAATCTTATTTTGTTTGGTTTTGTGGCAAAAAGTTGGTAATTACAGTTTCATTGTAATTCATAGATTTTGTTTAACTTCTTCTTCAAGATTCTTTACAAAAAAAGACAGCCAGACAAGAGATTAATCATGTTTCTACACCCAAGCTCAGTAAAAAGCCACTTTTTCCCTTAGTAATATATTAAACTTGGCAGAAGTGTTTAGCTTGCCTGAATTTTTTTCTACTAGATCCTTTCTCATTTTTTGTAGTTCTAAGCTGAATTCTATATGCTGGTCTTGTTCACAGTAGAAATTTCCTAGAAAAGAATTATGTACGTGCAGAAACTGAGTCTGTGCTGCTGAGTGGCAGCACTCAGAAAATCTAAGACTAAGTCTGTATCTCTGTCTAATGGCACATCCATGCAAAGCTATTAATTACTGTATAAATGTCCTGTTGATATAAATGTTCTAGTTCTTCTGAGAGGATCTGTGTGCTTTGATATGTTTTAATGTATGTACTTTGTTATTTTTTCAATTCTGAGGCATTTATAGCATACTTCAATTTCACTGCTTAGGCTGACTGAAAAAAATCATACCTAGGTATGAAAGCAGCTCATCTAAATGAATCCTGCCTAATCTGCTGCAGACACTGTAAATGGAAGGCAGTTATTGGAGAGAAGTAATCATTTTATTTTTTTTCTGAAGAGAGAACTGTAGTGCAATCATGAGAAAATGAATCTTCATATCATCAAACTTCGTATAAAAAACGAAACATACCTTTCTAGTTCCTCAGAGATCTTTGAATAGGAGAAGAGAATATTAATTTAAAATGACAAATGACCTGTACACTTGAGAGTCAATATGAACAAACTATCATAGAAGAATTGTGAATAAAATATTTCTGTGGGGTATGTGCTGAACTTTGTGGAGCTTGATTTAAAACTGGTTACATAATTATTGCTGAATACACTCACCTGTCATTTATGTGAAATGAACCCATGTAGTGGAGAAATCACAATAGTAAAACTACTAACAAACATAATGGTAAGGACTGATTGTGCAAAATCAGTTTGGGTCCAACAGAGCTTATCAGCTCTGTTTTCAGACATTTGTTACATGCTGCTGATAAAGCTGATTAGTTCCCCGCATTTTCCTCGCTTCTATCTCTTTCCTCCAAACTGAGACCCTGTAGATCTTTTAATCTAAATGATTAGAAACTGAAACTACGAATGCTGGAGACTGCAGGTGGAGTGACTTGACATGGTGTCATAAACTTCTCAATATAAATTAGATAACTTGCATACATTTTGTAAAAACAATTTCAGTATTTGTGACTCTGTTGTATGAGTTTGCAGTAGTATTGTGTGTGTGTGTGAGTTTATATGGCTGGAAACAGATTGGAATAATTAAATACGCACTTCTGTGTCCATATATATGGATTGGGCTTTTATGAAGCAATTGTTTAAGTGGTTTCTGTGCCTTTTTTGAAATGCAGAACTGTTAAGGGGTATTTAATATGTATTAGAAATGTCTGACTGGGAACTTGACACAAAGTGCGTATAAATTCACTCCTTACCATGTTGTCTGCACAAGGAAGTTAAAATCCCACGAACAAATTCAACCACCTTGTTAGATTAGTATTTTGTCTGAGATGACAAGAATCTTGAGACATCTTAGTCTGGAAAAAAAATTAAGAAGTATCTATGTGTGTGTACATATTTATGTATGGTGTGTATTTATATATGTATATGGTTGTATGACATAAATGACCCCAAGAATTTCAGAACTGAGTATGTAATCAGTGAAGAAACATCTTAGCTGAGGAAGCTATCCCTGACCCTTCCTGCGGAGAATTAAGTGAGGTGGTGGCTGTAGGTGGATCTTTCTGCTTTGGGTCCAAAAAAAAAAATAAAATGTCCTTGGAGTCAGAGCTGGCCTGCAAGCCACATTTGCTGTGTTTCTTGGTCATTAACGTTCGAGACCTAGTAAGGTAATGTGTGTTAAACTGTCTGTAATATTACTTTTAGTAATGCTGTTTGTAATCGGAGATGTTCTATAACCATAGAATGTATAAGTATGCACACCTTGTTGCTTTTGTCTCAGGAGAATCTCACACCATATGGTGGGGCAGTTGGATTAGTTTAGTTTCTTCTTTCTGCAGGCAAGTAAACAACTTCTAACTGATAGTGAGCTGGGGTTTTGCCTCTGAAGGTTTGTATGTTGATGTCATTTTCTGCTAGAATTGCCACTACATAGAGTTCCCACAAGACAGTGTTTTTCAACTGTCAGTAGCAACTTGATCTTCTGGGGTTGATCTCCCAGATGGTCACAAATATACAGATGTCATCAACAATATATGTTGTGAGCTTCTCTTGCCTACTTAATTTCTGTTTGAATTGTGGTTTTGCCACATTATAATCAGCTAGCTTAACGTTTATAAGGAGATAAGGAATTGAGAAAGGAGTTCCTGCAAAAGGATGTCAAATACGGCAAAAATCCCATTCATCAACTTCTATTGCTCATGTAGATACCAATTTAAAGTGTATCTAAATATCTTTTTGATAGATCAGTCGAGGCTTTTCCACAGTACTGAGTTTTCATAGTCCCATCAAATTGTCATTATTAGAAGGGATTGTTTGAAATCCAGCAATCATTTGTGTTGCTTTGATTGATGGGGAAACCTCATCAAGAAACCTGTGAGTTCCTCCAAAACATAGTGAAAGGGTAATGTTATTCATATATGCGTTTTGAAGTAAAATCAAATGTCTAAATCAGTGGCTGTTTCTTAAGTCATAGAGTTCCAGAATGAGAATAGCGTTGATGAGATTGTGCAGCTTGTAAAATGCAAATAAATTGCACGTCTTCCAAAAGGTTATAACTCAAAACCAATTTTGAATTGTTCCCTTATGTTTTTAATGTATGGAATTCTTTATTGCAGGCTCGAATCAATGCCAGGCTGCAGCAGTATCGTGCCAAGGCGGAGCTGGCCCGCACAACCAGGCCTCAGGCCTGGGTTCCCAGGGAGAAGCTGCCACGGCCGCTTACTAGCAGTGCTTCAGCCATACGGAAGCTGATGCGCAAGGCTGAGTTAATGGGAATTAGTACAGACATTTTTCCAGTGGATACTTCAGATACTAGTTCCAGTGTTGATGGAAGAAGAAAACATAAACAACCAGCTCTCACAGCTGATTTTGTAAATTATTACCTTGGTAAGAATAAAAATGAGATTTTTCTCAATGAAAAATTACTGCTTTGCTGTATCTGTACTGTGTTCATTAATTTCACTTGTATTACTTTGTTGTCAATAGATACATGTGAATAACGACTTCATTTTATATCAGATCTATTATTGCTTGGTATCTGTATTTACACAGAAAGTTAGTGGCTTTTTAAAAAAGACATAAAAAAAGAACATGTTTCAAATATTAACAGGAGGCATTGTCTTTGCTTAGAAGGGAATGGAAAGTTAGGTACCTTTGGTGACATTTTTTTTTCTTACATTGTCCTTTCTGAGATTTGTCTTTGGAAGGGTTCACTAGATGACTGATCAAAGCTTACAATTTAAATGTTATTATTCAATTAACTGTTATGCAGCAGAAAGTAAAATTATGGCTGTTCATTCTACTCTGTAATAAACCTATAGGCTAGTTTTGTGGTTTTGTGTTGTTATGTTTTTATGCTTTTCCTTGCTTCACTGTTTTCAGTGCATAAATCTTGGGGATGTAGCCAAGGATAGGAAATAATGCTATTTTCTTTTAAACAGAGAGAAATATGCGCATGATTCAAATCCAGGAGAATATGGCTGAACAGAAGAATATCAAGGATAAATTAGAAAATGAGCAAGAAAAGCTTCATGTGGAGTATAATAAGGTGAAGAAAAGAAAATAAGCTGTTGTACTGTTTTAGTGTTGTTGCTGTTAACTTTGCTAGCGTTTTGGTTTCGTCACAAAATGCCTTGGAAAGAAAGTTACAAACCATTCTTTCTTTAAACGTAATCTTTAAAAATATATTTCTTCTTTAAAAAAGTTATCGTGTGGTCCATTCCCCCTATGCAAATAGAATCAACTTCTAAAATGTTCTAGGTTCTGTTGGAACCTGCTTGTTTCTCTGCTTGGAAGCCTACTTGCTAATTGAGAATCCAGAATTTTCAGTGTGTTATTAATTAATTTATTTATATCACCTCCAGCTCCAGTTGTGTTCATCCTAGATTTAGTGACTTGGCTAATTTTTCGGACTGAAATAATCAATGTTCGCAAGTCCCTAGCTTTTGAGTACAGGAAATTTGGGGCTCATAAATGATGGCATTGCTCTCCCCTGGATGTTGCTAATGTCATTATGTAGTAACTCATCATCATCATGGTTAAAAAAGCGTTTTATGTTTTAATTGCATTTGTACGAAATAATTTTTATTTGAATCTTTAAGTATTTTTAGACAGAACATGGAAGTACTGTATCTTTTATGACAGATGACATGTTGCATTTTTGTATTAATTCAGCAACCCATCAAGTAATGGCTAGTGATGACAAGAAACAGTGTTGCTATTAATTCTTAAGCTGTTGGGTGAGTGTTTTAAATGAGAACACATGGAAATGAAACAGCAGGTCCTTGTGAACTTCCCAAAGATGTTAAAGAAGAAGGAGATTGTGTGGGGGACTTTTTACAAAAATTAATAGGTTGTTTATACTGTGTGGTAATGAATAGTTACTTCCAGAAGAAAAAAAAGAAACATAACTTCTTTTTTACTTCCAGCCTTTAATGAATTGCATCTTTTTCTATGACAATGAGTGAGTGTTCTTTGGTAATGTAGTGTAGAGTTATAATCAATTTATGTGGTTACTTCTTAGAATCTTGCTGCTTAAGGAGTATGGACAAGACATGCAAGGTGTTGCTGTATTTTAGTTTCACTTTCTAATTGACTTTATGAAACCTTATTTTCACACTGTAATGCTTCAGATCTTACTTACAAAACAGGTAGCTGCTCAGATTTTCATTTTAATTCCGTTAAGTTGCTGAATGATTGCATTGGTCTCAGCTATATGGGCATGAGTTCCATTGTTTTTTAATCCCACAGTAAAGTAATGCACCCTAGATAGGTAAGAGGTTGAATAAATTTGATTACATTACTACTAATGGATTTTTATTCCTGTTAATTTTTTTTCTGTAACTTTTCAGCTATGTGAGTCCTTGGAAGAACTGCAAAATATGAATGGAAAACTGCGTAATGAAGGACAAGGCATTTGGGCTCTGTTAGGGAGAATCATTGGACAGGTTGGTTTAGTTTTTTCTCCGCTCTTGATAGTTTGTAGGCAGACCTGGTTTTCCAAGAATAGGCCTTTTTTTTTTTTTTTTTTTTTTTGGTTTTGTCTGTCACTTCTATGGCCAAATAAATTTATTTGATCAGACCCAGGTTTTACTCTGGGGATGTTTCCTGATTGAAATATCTAGACTTCTGCAAACGACCTACTGGGAACCTGTAGCTTAATTTTGTTGTTGTTATAGCGCTGTTGTTTGCAAAATTGTTTCATTTGGTATAACCAATTGACCTGTCATTTGTGATGAACCTTAAAGTGAAGCATGGGTTAATCCTGCAGTTTGTGTCTCCATATTCTTTAGGTACTGGAGGCTTCAAATGATGTTAGTAGTTTTTTATGGCTTTTAAGATATAAAACTGGGAAACTGCAGTACGTGTGGGATGGTTTGTAGCTGGACAGAGCAGTATAATCTGGTCAAATCAATACAAATATTCATTTGAGAAAAGAAGAGAAAAGGAGAAAAGATTTGTATTACTTCCAGTTGACATTGAGGCACACGGAGAAATACAGATTCTTGACATGTTTTGATACATGTTTTATGTCAAAGATATTAAATGGCAATGGACATTGTAGATGTCAGAGAGAGATTGAAATTATTTCCAATTATGATTTTAAGGAAAATTTTAAAAGCTGTTCATAGTAAAAATACAGATATACAGTTAGGTCACAGTTTTGCTGTACCTTTTGGTACTGCTGAATTTGTACTTCCATTCAGAAAATGAAGCTTACTCTTTCTTTATGTAGTAGTAGTTCTCAAGGCATGTCAGCTTTTTCTGGTTCTGTTTGTCTGCCTACCTTTTCTACTTGTGAAGAAGGATTCTCGCATAATGTATCTCTTGAATCACTTTCCCTTCTTTTTAAGATGGCTTTGAGTAAGTATTCACAAATATATTTCCTGCTGCAAATGTTACTAAATTTAAAAAAAAAAAAAAAAAGAAGAAAAGTTAAGTAGAATTCATTTGCACAGCTTGCATGACATTTTTTCCAGTTGGTTGAACAGATGCAGACCCATGGGGCTGCTGAGAAATGACTTTGATAGATGGTTGCTGTCTGAGATGCTAGCATACTGCAGATTAGTATAAACCCAAAGAAAATCTCATCTGCTTTGTGAAGGGCTTGGTCCAATAAGATAATTTTTCTAATTAACCTGTCGAGCACCAGTGTAGCAGGGATGTTGGGGAAAATAAACTGCCTCAGTATTTTATCAGTTTTTGAAATTTCTTTTCTTGTTTCAGCTACCTAGACAAATGCAACCTTGTCCATCCATGTATTGGAAGCTTGAAGAAAATGTTAAAATACAGTGGTTTAGTGTGACTTTTATTTATTGAATTGAAAGACATTAATTATTACTTTATCTCATTATAATTTGTAATATAAGCATCTGTAGGTACTCTTGTGTGCAAAACAGTTAGCTAAGCAATTTCCTACTCCTAATTTCAGTCTTGTTCTTCATGCATTGAGATTGGAGTGGTATTCTCTAAAATCATCAAGACTCATGTATACTGCATTTGTTCAAATCCAACAGAAATTGAACATACCAGCAATTTTACGGGCTCCTAAGGAGAGGAAACCAAGTAAAAAGGAAGGAGGAACGCAAAAGGCATCTACACTTCCAGCTGTACTTTATAGGCAAGTAATTAAGTCTTGACAGAACAGTTAAAATATCTAGGAAGTCTCACAGAAGTGTTCTGGGAAAATTGTTTGCTTTGATTTTGATTAACAAAATGCTTCAAACTTGTCTGTATCGTGTACTTACTTCTGAAGGTGAAGTTGAATAATAATCAGTTTGGGTTGTTTGGTTTTTTTTGCTAATTTGGAAGCAATGCTTTAAAGGCAAAGGTAACTCTTTACAGCTGAAATAGAAGGATCCTTTGTCTGTGTGTTGTGAAAACATTCAACTGATCATCTTTTCTTTTGAATGCAATAATCTCTGTTTAGATGATTTTGTGAGCTGTTTAGTCACAGTGCTTGTGTGCATAAAACACTATTCATATAAGAATTTTTTCTTTTTCCTCAGGCATTGTCAAACGCTTTGGGATATCTAGTGTTTTAAATTTCCCTAGTTCTATTCCTATTAATTCCCAAGAAAATAAAATCTATTGACTTACTCTGTTATCGTTCCACCTTTTCTCCTCTTCTGTAAATTGTGAAGCTATTGACTGGGCTTTAACTATGTCAAACAATGGAACATACACTAGAATCCCAGAGCATGACTGTGTAAAACATAAATACCTTCTTCTCTTGCCACCCGCTGAGAAATTGCTTGGTCTGTCACTTACCTAGGGAGGACAGCTAGGCCTCCAGCCATGGCAAGTGGGCAGTGTCTTGCCCAGCCAGCAGGGTGAATGAAGAAGATGGGTTGCATGAGCATAAGTTAATTATAGTGCTGTGAGAAGTAGAAATCTTGAGAACGTGGCAGTGGGCTGAGGATTTGGCAGGCATATATACAAACAATAGCAGTGATGCTTTACTAGTTTATTTGCATTCAAATCCAGTAATTTAGTTCCTTCCATTTTGTAATGGAATCAATGAACACCTAAACTTCTTGAAATAACTAAAATTTCAGTTCCAGTGTTGTAGTAGTAATAATAATAAAATTGAACTTCTTAGGAATCAATACAGTGCCCATCATGATAGCAGCACAAACCTATTTCAGGATGCTTACAGTGGTTAAAAAGGGAAGTGCTGGGCAAACTCAAGTGGAAGAAGAGAGTCTACAGATCACGGAAAGAGGGGCTGGTCACTTGGGAGGCACGTAAGACTGTTGTCAGAGGATGTAGGAAGGCAACTAGGAAAGCTAGGGCCTCTGGAATTAAACCTTTTAAGAGAGGCCAAGGATGACAGAAAGGGCTTCTTCAAATACATTGCTGACAAAAATAACACTAGAGGCAATATAGGCCCACTACTGAATGAGGTGGCTGCCCTGGTGACAGAGGATACAAAGAAGGCGGAGTTATTGAACACCTTCTTTGTCTTTACTGGCAAAGAACAACCCCATGTACCAGTATAGGTTGGTGACTGACCTGTTGGTGAACAGCATAAGGGAAAGTGACCTGGGGCTCCTGATGGACAGAAGGATGACCATAAGCCAGCAATGTGCCCTTGTAGCCAAGAAGGCCCACGGCATCCTGGGGTGTATTAGAAGTGTGGTTAGTAGGTTGAGACAGGTGTTCCTCCCTCTCTGCTCTGCCCTGGTGAGGCCACATCTGGAATATTGTGTCCAGTTCTGGGCCCCTCAGTTCAGGAAGGACAGGGAACTGCTTGAAAGAGTCCAGCATAGAGCCACAAAGATGATGAAGAGAGTGGAACATCTCCCTGGTGAGGAAAGGCTGAGGGAGCTGGGTCTCTTTAGCTTGGAGAAGAGGAGACTGGGGAGCGACCTCATCAATGTTTACAAATGTGTTAAGAGTGATTGTCAGGAGAACAGAAACAGGCTCTTCTCAGTGATGTCCAGTGATAAGACAAAGGCAATGGGTACAATCTGGAACACAGGAAGTTCCACGTAAACATAAGGAGAACATTTTTCCCTGTGAGAGTGACAGAGTACTGCAACAGGCTGCCTAGAGAGGCTGTGGAGTCTCATTTGATGGAGACATTCAAAACCTGCTTGGACACATTCCTGTGTTATGTACTCTAGGTGATCCTGCTCTGGAATGGGGGTTGAACTAGATGATCTTTCAAGGTCCTTTCCAACCCCTAAGATTCTGTGATTCTGTGATAGTTAAGATTCAAAATAGCAGCATAATTTTCTATTTAAGCATTTGAATGGCACAGATAGTTTTGTTTTTTTTTTACTTGCCACTCTTATATTTTGTTGAAGTATCAAATGATAACCCACTGGTTAAAAGTCCTCAAAATTGGATTGAAAGCCATTTTGTTAACTGTATGTAGGTGCCTATTATTCTTTACTGTATTTAGGTAGAAGCTTCTTAAAAAGTAACTATGCACTAAAATGGTGTATTCAAACTGAAGTTGCCACATGTTTGTATTGGAACTGGGGAGTATGCTGGGATGTATTATTTGTATTTTATGATTTCAAATGTAATGATAATGCTTTTTTGCTACCTACGTTAAAAGTTGTGGAATTTGCAAGAAGAACCATGATCAACACCTCCTGCTACTGTGTGATACTTGTAAACTCCATTATCATCTTGGTTGCTTGGATCCACCTCTTACAAGGATGCCAAGGAAGACCAAGAACAGTTACTGGTAAGAGTGCAGTTCATGTGTTGTCTTGTGCTATCTCTGTGCTTAAAGTAGGACATAAATATGAAAAGATTTGCAAATTCTAAGTGTTTTAGACGTTGTTAAAACTAATAACCGGGTAAAGAAGCTGATTTCCCAATTTTCATAAAATTATTGTGTTACTGTGTTGTGTTAGTGTTCCACGTTTCTAAACTGCTCTGAAATGTGTTAAATGCAGTTCTTACCTGCCAAAGAAGCTAGCGTGCAGCATCTCCAGGAATTGTCATCACCTTGTCTGAATGCTAAGATACATAGAATAGTGTAAAAATTCCTTCAAAAAATACAGTAGTATAAGAATTCCTTCTAAAAAATATGGTAAAACTATTTGAATCAAGAAAACTTGTTTTTCTTAATATGTTTTTTTTTTCTTTTTTTAAAAATTTTTCAGGAACTTCCATAAAACATTTACTTAAGTAATCTTTTTGTTTTGATTCGATGATTGTGTGCAGAACAAGATGGTTGGTACATTAAATGGAGGGTGTCTCTTTTTTCCTATCTTAGCATGACAAAACCTGGATTTATGCAGTAAATTTAGCTACTAAATTAATACAGCTTTTCTTTAAAAAGCTGAAAATCTCAGAAAGGTTTTTACCGTCACTGATATTTTTCTGAACTTAATTTTCTTTTAGTTATTTAATGTCATCTCTGATTTTGGAGTTCATTATTTCAAGAACAATCTGATCTCTTTAATCAAATTTACAAGGTAAATTCGTTACATGGAAGCATTTTTCTAAATTTTTGGTAGGTCCTGTATTTATACAGAAGGTTCTTGATTTTTGTTCTGCTTTTTAACCAAGTTGAAAAGGCTCACTAAAAGCCATCAGTCCAAAAGAAATAAGACTATAATTCTCAGTAGGTGTAAAAGGCAGAATAGGTCAGGTTAGGTAGTAAAATGCTTTTATTTCAAAGCTATAACTTATCTTTGTTGTGAATTTCATGCTTCAATTATATCTCAGATCACAAACTTGGCTTTTACTTCTAATTAGCTAAGGTATATTTTGGGACATGAGATTATAGCAGACAAATTGAGCTGTATTGATTGCATCCTTTTCATCACTGAACGTGCCTTTACATATTCTTTTCAGGATCAGTAGAGAGCATATAGAACAGTTAATCTTTTGATTAAGCTATGAAGAAAAGTGCCATTTTTTTTATATGAGGGCCCTGTACTTCTCAGATATTTGTGTAGGATATAATGGGAACTTATAAAATAGATAAAGAAAATGGATATAGTGGAAAATTCCTTGAAACATTGGACAGGTTGAAAGACCATATAAGATGGCTAAAAATGTTGACTTTAGTCCTCTTTTAACATAGTAAACAAGAAACAGTTTAAAATAATTGTTTCTTAATTTTTGCTTTCTATTCCATTATCACTGCTAATTATTTGCTCATAATGGTTAAATTGAGCCTTTGCAAAAGGTTCAGTGATTAGAGTAAAAGACTTTATCAATACATATTTATTGAAACATTGGATAGTTTAGCATGAGTTCGTTCTCTGTGCTTCATATTTTATACTGTATTTTATGCCATATGATTCGGCTTATATGTGTGATGCTACATAGATTAATTAATAGTTACACTTTTTGTTCATTTCATGCTCAACATTTAATAGATATTTAAGTTACAGTATGCAAAAAAGGATTTTGAAATTGTTTAAATCCAGTGCTGTATGTAATGGTATGAAAAAAATATTAAATATTTTTTATATTTAAAAGCTGAATTATTAAGGAAAGCAAAAATTATACTTGGTTGTCTCAACCTTTCTAAACATTAAGGAGATAATAATTTTAGGGAAATCATAGTAAGAGTGTCTCACAGTTTATTAGAAACTGGTTTCACACACTTAACACTAAGTGTTGGCCTCTTTCAGAGGCCTGACATTTTTAGGCAAGGTAAAATTTGTACATCTTGAATATTTCAGCAAGTGTTTGTTACATAGCAAGTTCAAAGCCTGTCCTAATTTCAAATGGATTTATTTTGGGGGGAACAGTAACAACTATTTTATGTAATAGAACATAGAAAGCATTTCTAATCATAGAGTGAAATGTTGTGGCATACTTTTATTAAAAGATCTGGAAAATATTCTCTCTGACACGTTTTATGCTTTTGGGCTCCTGCCCGTTCTGGATGGACTGGAAATTGTGTATTTTCCTCGTTGAAAATGACCTGAACTGATACAAAAGCAGTGCACAATGTAGACAGACAATACAATGAATCAAATCTCATTGTGAAATACTGACATTTTCATTAAGAAAATACTTGTCAGCTACCACAGGGACTAGCTGTTTCTATTGAAAAGAGATGTCTGGAAAACAGTGATAACTTCTCAGTAACATAAGAAATGCTGGGAACTGAGATGAACCAAACAAGGACTAATGATCATGTTAGGCTTGGAGGTTTTAATTTTTGTTCTGGAAGGACAAGTTGTTTTAATGATAATTCTGTGGGAGAGTATTGGCCGCAGCCTAGTATGAGCTGTGAACTTTTTGACCCGTGAACACTCATTCAGTATCTGGACATTGATTCATATTCTAGACCCCACTTATTCAGTACTGATCCAGCACATCTTGGTAGTTTTTTTCATCCTGTGTCATTGGATAATGACATAAAATTGTTAACTTCTGTGTGAGTGCAATATAGTATTGCAGCTAGTGTATAAATTTTTATGAATTTGTCACTTGTCCGAACTGAAGGGTGTTTGAATCATTGCAAATGGCAAGTTCCAATACCTTTACTGTCTGAAAGATGCTCTGTGAAGCTCTTTGACAAACTATTTTTGGTTCATATTTGCTGTCTTTTATCTACAGAGTAAGACCAGTCCTCCTTTTTTCAACTTCCAGTGCATAATTCAACCTCTGTGATTTATTCAAATTGCCACAGCAGAGGTGTAATCTTAAATCTATGGTCTATGTTTCTCGAGTACAGAGTCATTTAATTCTTCGCTAACATTGCAAGAAGGGATTTATCACAGAGGATGTCTGTGAGACCCTTTTGCTCCTAATTAGAAACAAGCAAAGCTCTACCTGATAACTGCAGTTTTCCTTTTTAAACACTGAGGGCAGAACTGTTTTCTGGAAGCGCTGTATGGGTGTTCACTCAGCAAGAGGATTTAAACTTGCTTTTAACAGTAAGAACTGTGTTCAAAGGATGCTGGTTTCTTCCAAATCCTCTTCCAGCTTAACCCCAGTTGTCCTTTTACAAATGACTGTCTTGTTCAGACTGAGTCCTTCATATTTGCATCACTCAAGCCACTCTGAGACTACCATGACACAATTAAGACAGTCTAATTAATCTATATTGTGATAATTGAACAAAGTCTCAATTTTTTCCTAATTTTTTAGCATTGCCTTTTCAATAAAATGTTTTTATGTGGTTTTCATATCCAAAAGTGTTGTTTGTTTTGTTAATGAAAATTTATAAAATAAAAACAGATTTATCTAAAGTTTTTTACCAGTATGTTGGCTTTGAGCTCCGTTAGTGAGATCTTCAACTTTGTGACCTTTCATTTGTAAAGGAATGGTGTTTAGTGCTTCTTCAGCTTTTCGCAAATTTCCATGTGCCAGGCTCATCAGTTAATGTGCATTTAGATAATTTTTTTTTTATGCAAAGCAGCATAATGTTATTGGCACAACATTTTTTTTGGAAGTAACAGGATTTTCTCTCTGCCGTTTTCCTTGGCATGTCAACTATCCTTATTTTCCTAGGGATGTAGATTATCAATTTTTCACTTTGTAAATTTCTAGGTTGAAGAAGCTCAGAGCTAGGTTAACGCTCATGCTCTTGATTTCCAAAACTTCATAAAACAGAAAGCACTCTTTGGTCTTAGAGTGCATACTAAGCCCCTAATAAAAACCCTCTTACAGGTTCATGTTTCTTGAAGGTACCCATCATCAAAAACCACTGTCAGGCAATGCAGAAACATTTGCATCACCTTTTCCAGGTTTTTAGTGCTTAATTAAAGACTTTCTGTAAAATTAAAAGGTTTCAAACTGTCGCTGAGATTTCTTCATGGATCAAACACAGTTGGAAAAGTGACCTCTTGTGGTAGGTTCTCTATTCACTGTATTTGAAGAGGTGAAATTAAATGAGTATGACTTCATGAAGCCAAAAGAAAGAGGAGTCGTGGCTGCTTGGTATTAATATATTGGGATTAAACAGTGGCATGGGAAGATAGTTCTTTAAGTTCAAGAACCATATTCAAATAAAGCCTAATAGGAGGTGAAAGTTAGGAGATTGTTTCCAAGTCAGAGCAGTGTGTGTCTGTAATAGCTTTTCTCTGGGCCCTGGGGGAGGTAACAAACAAACAACTTTATAGTTGAAGCTTGACTGCTTTATAACAGGGTTGATAGGATGTGGTTGCCTGTGATAGTGGAGGCTATTTCAGTAAATCAAGAGTTTGCTTGTAAGTTCATGTTTATAATTTTCTTTTTTTTTTTTTTTCCTTACTTTCTGTGTATTTGTAAAGTTTTGTTTTGTCACTCACACCCTCTCTGCCCACCCCTCCTCATACTATGGTTTTTCAGCTTTCTTTTTGTGGATCTAGCTTTTTTCTACTGTTTATTGCTGTGATGCACCACCTGTTTCAGAGTAGGCTTGATCATACAAATGGAATTTCAGGAACTTTCATCCAGTACCTCATCTATTCATGGAGATGTTTCTGTCTTTGTCACTACCATCAAAGTTAAAGTACTTATTTCAATAGGTACCTAATGAAACTAAATTACTTTACTGATCTCCATAAAGAGTTTCTGTACAGTGGCTTTCCCTTCTAACAGTGCAGAGCTGAAGAACAGGAATTTTTTAAATTATAGGTGCAGGTTGGTATGTTCAAGAGACTGGATTCGCAACTCCAAATGTTGCTTCAAAATCATACTGATATTTTTTTGTCTTATAAAAACATCAATTCAACTCTTCAGTTACAGAATGCATATTTTTTTAGTTTATACATAGTACATATTTTTTCCGTAATAATGGGGAAAATAAACATTTTGTAATAAATTATCAATATTTTTTAACACCTTCATAGCTATTGCTTGCAAGTGCATAAGCAGATCACAATAAGTACTTTCAGTTGTGCTTTCCATTTAATATATTAACGTCGTGACTGATGCTGCAGTATTACAGAGGGCTGTGCTCCCTGATGCTTGCCAAAGAGAAAACAGAGTTTTGAGTTTGACAATGCATGGTATAATACTAAAGAACACTAAGTAACTTTTAGCTAAGCAGACAAAACATTTTGAGGGAATGCCATTATCTCTAAAGCTTCTCTCTTTAGAGAGCCTTTCTCCATAAAATGTTACAGTAATAGCAGCTTGGTCTGTGTGCCTTTGTTTATTTGCTTAAGTGGATATAAATATTTATTTGTGTGTCTTTATGCACACATATTTATGTAAAATTGTATCTGTAAAAAGTAACATTTTCTGAAAGTTGTTATACTTTTTAATTGGTTTTACATTGAGTGTCCTAAAGAGGCCAAGAAATGTAAGCAGGTACTGTGTAGCAAACAAAGATTTGAAAAGGGAAGGGAAGCTAAGATGATTACACGCTTGCATGCTGGTGCAGAACTGTTTGCAAAGTATAAAAACTGCATAAACAGACTTCCTGGTCTTTTGACTACAAATAAAGTCTCCACACTTACATGAGGGAGAGGAGAGGCTGTTATCTTCCCTTCAATCTACCTCTGTTTTTCTAGACCAGCAAATAGTTCTAGCACTGACATGTATTTTATTTGCAGTGGTCTCGAGTACTTTAGAGATAAGTGGTTAATCTTCATAACATTATGATGTAGCCACAATTGTCTCAGTTTTACATATGGAAAAATTGAAGAAGAAAGATGTCGGTTTAGCCAAGGTTACACTGGTAACAGCTACCTAATCCCCCCTTTTGTGACTTGGTAGCCACTGGCTAGTCTAGTGGACCATGACTGCTGTTGTCTTCTGGTATAGCCAGGAGAGATCTGAGATTAAGCTACTTGGATTAGTTTGAAAGGATTAGACAACATGGAAAGTTGATGGAGTTGATACTGTGTTAGATCTTACTGAGATTCATAGGAGAAACACTCTTCCTGTTTTTCCTGTAAGAAGTCAGCTCAGACACACCATAAACTTGACTTTGTGCTTTTCTTTAAATAGAGGATGAGTATGCCTTCTTGTCACAAGTGTTTATTAATGTTTAACTTAAACAAATTAAATACATATGTTTTGTTTGCCTCCTCCCAAATCAAATTTGCTCCTTCCTTTGTATATATAATTTTTCCATCTGTATTCTTGTTAATGCTAATTAATAGCAGAGTATAATTTTGTTGTTGTTTTTTTTTTAAGTGCTGTTAGGAAATTTTTAATACGAGGACAGTGATGAATTGGAGTTTGTTTAGAAGGATTTATAGTTTTTTTGAATTGGAAGTGTAATGTGAGTAAGAATTTAATGGTTTTTATCAGTGGGTATAAGGTTTCATTAACAATTTTTGTTAGCCTCCACATTTCTTGACTTTACATAAGATGAGTATTTTCTGGAAATAAGAACAAAACTTGATGATCTCCTATCTTGCTAATTCTGTCATGGATCTTGTTGGTAGCATTACATGAACATCTGTTCACTTTTAAAGTTCTGGTTGTGGTTTTTTACTTTTTAAAAAACTCAAGGCATTTTTTTTCAACTCAGTGTTCAAAGTTTGTGAATATACATCTCCAGCTTCTGTCTCCTTGTCTCTTAACTGTTTTTTTTCCTATTTAAAACCCATTCTGTTAGAAAATACGTATTAAACATTATTTTCACAACAGACATTCCTTCCAAACCCCTGCCTCTTAAAGTGCACTCTCATCAGAATTAATTCAGCAGAATGTCATTGTAAAGATTAATCTGCAGCAGCAGTTACAGTAATTAATAGATTACAGATCAGTGGCCACCATTAAAAATCAGGATATGGGAGGATGCAAATGGTGAAATAGGCTGGGTGCATCTTTCTTGAAGATTAAACCCTACTTTTAAGATCTTGGTTTTCAAAGAAAAATCTTGGTTTTTTGTCAGAAAAAAACCACAAAGCACAACAGCCAGCAATAAGAAAGTCCTGTTTATTTTTTGCATATTTGCTCAACATATCATACATTTGAGGGAGTCATTTAGGTGTCGGTTTGGTTTCTTGACTTTTGAATTTATTTTAAACTCAAACATTTCAATATGTTTCTGCTTTTGTGACTGCAGTTTTAAATAGAAAATGTTCCACTTGCAGGCAATGCTCAGAGTGTGACCAGGCAGGTAGCAGTGACATGGAGGCTGATATCGCCATGGAAACCTTGCCAGATGGGACTAAACGATCAAGGAGACAGATTAAGGAACCAGTGAAATTTGTTCCTCAGGATATGCCACCAGAACCGAAGAAAATTCCAATCAGAAACACGGTAAATGATGGTTGAGTTGTTATGCAGCTCATATTCATAATAATTTTGTTTTAAGATTATGTTTTGGACATCTTGAATTGCAGTATTTCAAATTGATTGATCTTCTATTTTTATTATCAATTCCCTTTCCTGTGTTTAATAATTTACTACTTGTGTTAAAGATACAGTTTTGCCACAGTAAAAAGCTGGGCAACATGATATTGAACTGAAGAGCTGTACAAGTTTTCCTTTTACCTGGGTCACAAAGTCCTCCGTTAATTGCGGAAAAAGGGAAAATTCAGTTTGGACTTCAATTTAGCCTTTACAGCTGTTCTTTACCATAGTAGTATGGGCTTTTTGTTCTTATATGCTAAGATTTAAATATATATTAATATTTAAATATATATTAATATATTCCAATTACAACTATAAATTAATGATATCCTTATGTACAGGCAACCTAATGACTGCATGTTTTGTGATTGTCACAAGATCCTGCTATTTCGGGTTTTTTTAGATTCCTACTCTTACTAGTAATTGTGTGTTTTCTCAGACTTCGATCGTGGATAGTTTTGAGAGAAGAAAAGAAGAATTTTTTCTTCCTGCACTGATGAAATCTTTAGCATCTTCTTTTCATACGGAAGTAGATATTTTATACTAATCACTGTATTCTATGGTGTTTTCTGGTGTTCTAATTCTAAAAAAAATTCTTTTCTCCTTGCTCAGAAACAAGAGTTTTCATGTGTGATGAAGGACATAATTTATAAAATGTAAATAAAAATATCAAAGGGCTTTTAGGTGCAGTTTAGGGAATGAGTAGTGTTCCCATCACCCTTTGGACATGAGTAGAAATTGCATATAAACTGGTCGTTCATATATAATGTATTGGTATTAGGACATGAGGATTCCTAATTATTGGACTAAAGAGAACTACAACTATTGCAGGAGAGGCAATCAAAGTAGTAGTAGAAGAAGTAGTGATATAAGGCATTGTACATAAATCCATTGTAAGACTAAGATTGGTTTATACAACGCCCTTGTGAAGTTATTACAAGCTTCTTCTGTCCTAAATAGAGAGAAGCCTGGTTGCTCTGAAGTGTTTGCCTCATGTTTTGACAGTCATGGAGCAGATCATCTTGAGTGTTATTAGAAGACATACAGAGGATAACCAGGGGATCAGGCCCCATCAGAATGGGTTTATGAAAGTCAGGTCCTGCCTGATGAACCTGATGTCCTTTTATAACCTGATGACCCAACTATTGGGTATTGTCTACCTGGGCCTCCAAAAAGCATTTGACATGGTTCCCCATAGAACTCTCATAAAAAAAACTGGCTGCTTATGGCCTGGGTGAGCACACGATCTGTTGGATCAAGCACTGTCTGGATGGTTGGGCCCAAAGAGTAGTGGTCAATGGAGTCCAATCCAGCTGGGGCCAGTCACAAGTGGTGTTCCTCAGAGCTCAGTGTTGAGACCATTTCTGTTTAACATCTTTATTGATAATTTCGATAAGGACATAGAGTGTATTATCAGTAAGTTTGCAGATGACAACAAGCTAGGCAGGAGTGTTGATCTGCGTGAGGATAGGGAGGCTCCAGAGAGACTTGGATAGATTGGATTGTTGGGCTAATGCTAATGGTCTGGGCTTCAACAAGGCCAAGTGCCGGGTCCTGCACTTGGGCCACAACAACCCCAGGCAGTGCTCTAGGCTTGGGGAAGTGTGGCTGGAAAGTGTCTGGCAGAAAAGGACCTGGGGGTTCTAATTGACAAGTGGCTGCATATGAGCCAGCAGTGTGCCCAGGAGGCCAAGAAAGCCAATGGCATCCTGGTTTGTGTTAGAAATAGTGTGACCAGCAGAAGTAGAGGGGTGATTGTCCCCCTGTACTCAGCACTGGTGAGGCCACACCAGGAGTATAGTGTCCAGTTTTGGGCACCTCAATTCAAGAGAGGTATTGAGGTGCTGGAGTGAGTACAGAGGAGGGCGACAAGGCTGCTGAAGGGCCTAGAGGGTAAATCTTATGAAGAATGCTTGAAGGAGCTGGGAATGTTTAATTTGAGGAAGAGGAGGCTGAGGGGAGACCTCATCAGTCTCTACAACTACCTGAAAGGTCATTGCAGAGAGGTTGGTGCTGGTCTCTTTTCATAGGTCATTAGCTACAGAACAAGAGGGAATGGCTTCAAGCTGCAACAGGGTAGGTTTAGACTGGACATTAGGAAAAAAGAAATTCACAGACAGAGTGGTTAGACGCTGGAATAGGCTGCCCAGGGAGATGGTTGAGTCACCATCCCTGGATGTGTTTAAGGGTTGTTTGGATGTGGTGTTGGTGGATATGGTTTAGGGGAGAACTTTGTAGAGTAGGGATGATGGTTGGACTCGGTAATCCCTAGGGTCTTTTCCAACCTGAATAGTTCTATGATTTTATGATTCTATATTAGTGATTTGGCACCTCACATGCTGAAGAGTATATTTACACACATGGTGGTATCTAATACAGGGATTAAATTTACTTTGAGTGCACTAGTAAGTTGCCACAATACAGCAATTGCACTGAAAAAATTACTGCTACCTGCCTAAGAAAGACTTTATTCCTCTGCTTGAATTCATAGCCTCTCTTTCAGTTCTTCCAGTTCTCTGCTTTTCTACAACATACAGATGTGCAAGCTTTGCTGACCTGCTAGCAGGGCCCCTCTGTCAAAGTTCTCCCATAGCTGAGAGGTTGTTGGGTATTTAATTTTTTTATTTTCTCCTGTCTTCTACTTAACTATGGAAAAGTTTCACACCCTTGACACATGCTGGATTTTTTTTTCCTCTGAAGGCTGAATTCCTTCATTTCAACTTTTTCATGATCTTAATGCATTTAGACAGTATAATAAAATGAAGATAAGAGACCTCTGAAGACTTAACAGATACGGGCAGTATGGGATTCCCACTCACCTTTGCTATGAACCCAGGAAAGTTGGTGTTATTTTTTGTTGCTTGTTTGGGTTTTTTCGGGGTATTTTTAGGTAGAGAATACTTTTAAATTTGTTAGTTCTGGAGCTGTCTGTATATTTGAGGGGGAAAAAAATTACCTTTAAACAGCTTCTCAAATAAAGTTGGGTGCAACTACACAGAAAATATCTGTGTGGCGCATTTTCAACGATGACTGGATACTTGTTCTGTCATTTATGTGCGTACTACTCAAATACTTTAAAATAGTATAAAATAAAGAAGAAAAAAAAAACAATTTGGAAATATACTTAGTTCACAGTCCTCTCTTCTCAGTGTACTTTGTATCCCTAGGCGTGTTTTATTCAGTCTAGTTTTATTTGGGAAGGAATTGGCAAGCTTGCTTAGCTAACAGTGTGTAATCAGCCTTGCTTACAGTTATAATCAACAAGTGCAATTACAGGAGTGTTGAATTTTGTATCTGTTGTTCTTAAGGGAATTTCCACTTGTTTTGCATACATTTATCTTGAATTGATGTAATTGAAAGGAGGTTTTTTGCCACATACCTAAGAGAACAGAATGCATCTTACATGTTTGGTTTTCATTGTGGTGGTTTTTCATAGTTAACTCTTCTTACGTGGTAGATAGGCTCTAATTTTTTATTGTTGTAAAATTGCATTAGATTTTACTGATGACATTGACAACTGATGTCTGTAAGATATTTTATACAAATGTGTATGATTAACTAAGGCTATACGCTAATTACATTTTTTAAAAAATCATGTTAAATTGTATTTCAGAATTGACTTTGCAGTCAGTTTGCCCTGCAGCTTCTATTTGGTAACACCAATTTCTGAGATGATAAAGGATAACGCCTTTCATGAAAAATTGCCTTTTTCCTTTTTTTTAGGGTTGTTTTGTTTTTCTAATTTCTGTCTGCTTAGAATGTACTATGAAGAGTAAAAGACCCTTTTAGAAGTATTCATAGTGTTACTATTGTTTCTCATCCAATCTAATGATGCATGTGCACTTAAGTCCTGTAAATTATTTATTTCTTTTTGTTATCTTTCAGGCCACCCAAATTCATTCATATTGTGTTTTTTCCTTTCCAGGGATAAATTGTTTTTTAAAGAAAATATGGAAGGGGTTTTCCACTTTAAATGAAACCTTACAACTTTCTTTTGTTTTGCATTATTGCATGAAATTATGACATTAATTTTAATTTCTGCAATCTGTACTATTTCTCCCATCTGCTTTTTTCCTTTATGAACTTTACAGATCTTTTTCAGGGTTTTCTTATCATAAGTCTCTTAAGTGTACTTCACCTTACACCTGTGTCAGGATGCTTTTAGCAGAGACTGAGTGTGGGATGCTCTGCAGTATTTTGAATAAGGTGACTTTTCTTTGTATCTTGAGTCTGCTTGTGCAAAAAAAGCATGACTTACAGCCAGTTGCTGGCTGTGAGAAATAATTTTCCAAATTACCGAGAGAAGGTGAGACTATTTAAAACAGGAGCTACATTGTTTAATTCATAATTCAATCTGATCGTACATCAGAACAGTGGTTGCCAGAGAGACCTGTGGCAATTGGAGTACACTACTGTTCCCAGCGTTTGTGCGGTAGCAGTCCCAGTTTCCTTCTGTAATTTGGGAGTATGAGAGAGGACAAGCAGGTTATCCTCACTAAGGACAGTGCTTCTCCCTCCTACAATTCACTATGTTAATTGTGTCAGAGCAGTATTTTGCATCCTAATACTCTATAAGCATTTTCAAACAACACTGTGAGTTCTCCCTATTATTTTCATTTTTAGCTTTCAAATATTTCAGATATTTACATCAAAAAGAGCAGCGATTTCAAAGAAAATTGCAGGAAGGAAAGTCCAGCCATTTGGACTGCCTTGTTTTGGAGAGAGTGCCTATCATATTGTGCATTAAAATGTAACTAAAGTTTACAAGAAGACCTTTTTGAATTTACACTTTCTCAGAAAGACCATGTAAAAGAATGTACCTAAATGCACAAAGATAAATTTAAACATACCAGAATTGTACTCTGAGTTGGGATCTATACAAATTATAAAGTAATGTAAATAGATAA